AATCTAATATGTACCTAGAAAACTCATTAACCGTCTGATATTCAGTCACACTCCGGCGAAAATCTTGCAGTGGCCTTTGAAAAGATCCTAAAAGAGTTTGGTATATCAAAGAAGGTGAGCACAAACAAACAAACAAATGGACAAGGACAATACTTACCAAGTAACTTGTAGATGTTGAGTTTGACGGCTGATAATGCCAGCTCGAACGACACGCTGACAACAGAACTCGCCAAGCGAGTGGATTCGTTCAGCGGTGCAGTGAACCGAACACGATGCTTCCTACATATCGTCAATCTTGTTGCGCAGTCGATAATAAAACAGTTCGACGTACCTAAACATGCACAGGCAAGTTTGGAAGATGACTGGCCGATGCCTGAAGCCATAGATGTCCTGGATGACGAAGATCAGGACGAGCGGTTGTTGCAAGAACTTGCAAATGGGTCCGAAAATGATGATGCACGCACCATTGCAGAAAGAGGCGAGGGTAATCCAGAGGACGCTGATATAGACGATATGGATGGGTGGGCTGATGAAGTCGCAAACCTGACAGCACACGAGCATGCTGAACTACACAAGACACTGCGGCCTGTGAAGCTCGTCCTTGTGAAGGTAAGCCTAAACCAGTGATGACTAATCACTCACGCATTCATCGTGCACCAGCTTCGCAAGCTCGCCTTCAAGATTGTGCACTCATCCACACTCCTATTGCCTGCGTGGAAGGCACTTCTACCAGAGCTGGAATTAGCGGTCCGTATCATGCCTCGCGACGTATCGACGAGGTGGAATTCTACCTATGATATGCTGGACTTTGCGGTGGAGTACCGGCAGGCACTTGACAACTTCACTGGCGACCGCAAGTTCGGGTTGCGGGACTTCGAGCTCAGTGAACGAGAGTGGACAATAGCTAGACAGTTGCGCAATATTTTAGAGGTGAGTTGTGCAGTCTTCGGTTTGAGTTTACTCACGCCAGGCACAGATCTTGAAAGATGCCACAACATACTTTTCACGCTCAACACCATATCTCGCTACCGTTATTCCAGCCATCGATCACATTGACGAGTCACTCACAACTCACTCTTTTGACAAGCATTTGAATAGCGCCATTCGCGCTTCTCTCGCAGTGGGCAAGAAGACATTAGATAGGTACTATTCACTTACTGACACGTCTCAGACATACCGTATCGCAATGGGTATGTCTCTGTTTTGTTTTATATTCAGTTCTATACTAACAATACATTTTGAAGTGCTTCATCCCCGGCACAAACTCACCTACTTCAAGAACACTGGATGGGAGCAGGACTGGATCCAGACAGCCTCCAACCTCGTGCGCGAGGAGTTCAACTTCTCGTATGCTGATATGCCCATCGATCCACTCAATGAAGAGTCCAAAGGTGATGACCATGGATCGCAGCTTCGAAAGGTAAGTTAATTGACTAGTATGCTTTAGCGCTGACCGGATATGATTTTACAGGCATCAAAAAAAGACAATATATTCGATCAATTACCTGCTCTTGCAGCTCCGAAGCGCACAGTCACTGACGAGCTCGCATCATACCTTGCCACTGAGTGCGAGCACGTCCCAAATGTGATTACATGGTGGCATGAGCACCGAAAAACATATCCACGTCTCTCCCACATGGCGCTCGACTATCTAACAATTCCCGGTACGTTCAACTAACTTCTTGCTTATGCCCCGCACTTAAATACTAACACTATCAACTCAGCTACGTCTGTCGACGTTGAACGTATTTTCAGCCGAGGACGTCTTCTGCTATCTCACGTTCGGAGCCAGCTATCTTCACAAACCATTCGAGCCTTATTGTGCGTCGGCATTTGGAGCAAGCTGGGATTGGTACATGACAATGATGTGAAAGCTGTTGCTGTGCTAGAGGATGTCGAGGGTGAGGAATCGAAGCTGCTTGATGGCTGGGATGCCATTAAGATTTAGTTAGTATATTGTTTGTACCTACTACAGTGTCTATTGGAGTTTCTATTTGAGTTGCAATGCATGGGTCATGGGTTACCCGCCATGGGTTATATACCCATGATACCCACATGTACCCTTGTTGAAACCCGTACCCGAGCTGACCCTTGGGCCATGGGTACGGGTAAGCGGTGGGTATGGGTCCGGGTAAGCTCGTGGATACCCACGGGTTACCCATGCCATTGCCTAGCCGTAGCCCTCTGTTGGCTGTCGTTCACCGCACGTTTAGCTGCCTCTTTCGCTTGCCGACGAGATCTCGCATCGAGTTCACGATCGAGTTCCTGAGTGTTATATAGAGAGCATACCTTCGCCTTAAACTGACGAAGGTGTCCCCCAAGTTCAGTCGTTTGCTGATCGAGTATTTGCAAGGTTAGGTCGGAGTGCATGCGAAGTTTCGCAAGCCCGTGCCAGTGCGCCATGACGAAAAGAAGGTCGATAACGATTTTGTTTTGAGCATGGGGGAGAAGACCGTCAAAGACCGGGATAGCACACTTGTATGGAGTGAGTTGACAAAAATTTGTGAGAATCATTTGAAGAACCTACCTGCAAAAGATCCTCGAAGTTTCTTTCTGCCATGTTGGACATTTCAGATGTATTTGCGGAGAACTGTCTTATAGTTGAGGATCCAAAGGGGGGGACCAGCCTATACCTGTCAGACGTGAGTATGGGCATGCCGAGCCTTGATCAGGTACATGTTGGGTACCTTCTATCAAGCTCGTTGATGAGGTCCTTATTGAAGGCGACAAGTATTCTCAGTAAGTGAACTAAAAGTGAGCGCCACACCCCAAGTTCAAATTCGTGAAGGAGATCAACAATGAGGGCGGCGAACACATTAAACCCAGATGCGCCAAGGCTGCCAGATAAAATGTTCTAAGCAAGAGTTAGTTAGGGTGATAGAGGAGGCTTATGGTCATGCTCACCACAGTAGGTATCCACGATTCAGGCTTGAGGAGTTGCTCGACTGCTGAACTATCTACACCGTAGTTTTTGTCGTAAATGAGCTTGCGTGCATCAGCAACAAGGCGGGTCCTCGAGGCATCAGACCGCACCAACGTTAAACGTTGTTGTCGATCGCAGCTCAATCCTAGGTTGTGAAACTGTGCACCCGGGGTGAGACAACGTGGGCAAGGACAGCCTCCCAACTGCCGAATTGTCGCGATAAGAACCCTGGATTTTCTGAGTTTGACTTCCGCGAAATATGTTTACGACTCACTTTTCAGGGTACGGAGTAAGTAAATATTCGCAGGTAGAACCTGCGTTTGACGCCATCACAGCAGAGGATTACAATACCATGCCGGTAAGCCTCTAAAAACTCCTCGTCGAGCAGGACCTTCCATTGAGCTTGGAATAATTCCCGCTGACAATGTGTTGAGCATTCACGACCAGCTCCCCTGCCATCAGTGAATGCACACGCGAAATCTTTAAACGAGTCTGGAAGCTGTCAAAGTGTGAGCGTTAATGCGGAAGAGGATTTGTAAAAGCTGCTGTACTTTTTGGAAGTAGGCCACATGGTTGCCCAGATTGCAAGATGGTTTGCAACGGCGGTACTTCGATTCGTTTCCGAAGTACATATATACTGGCCATAGTTTTGCATTACCAAATGATGTCAGGTGTGTAGCGTCCAACCAAAACATGAGCGCAACGACCACCCGAGGTAAATCACATCCTGCCTCTCTGGGGGACTCCTGAAGTTCGCGGTGTGCGTCCATGAAGGCCGGCGAAGTAAATAGTTCTCCTTGAATGTTTACGTTGTGGGGAAGATGAGGAGCGCTCCATTGTAGTTGATAAGGCTCGTAGTGGAAAAGTTCGTCGTCTTTGGCGTTTGAGAGCTTTTCCCTAATGACCGAGACAAGAGTTTTATGATATAAGTTGGCTGCCACATAAGGGCGAGTGCCTGGCTGGGCAGTGGTCCAAGAAAACGGCACTTGGATAGTCACCTCCGTTTTACACCAACCCGCGTCCTCATCCTCCCATTCACCCCCCTCCTGTTCCAGAGAACTCGCACCTAATTTCAAATTGATACTATCCCATGGCGTGCTCCGTATGTCATCAGGATCAAATTCTGGATGACCGACGATATCGATCAACTCCTTAAAGCCTTGATTAGACTTTTGCACACTGCCATTCCAGTACCAGTGGCCGAGCTCGAAAGAGAATCTGTTGGGGTATGGGTGAAATGCGACGTCTTCGGATACGATGGGGGAATCGGACTCTGCTGGAGCGAAATCCGGGACAGAGCTGAGATCTCGGAGGTCCACAACTTCTTCTGGGTCGTGAGATGGAGGGGTGGATGAGAAAAATTGCCGTACTAGTCCAAAGACGTTCCTGGCGGTACAGAAAGGAGGGGCTCTGGGCAACGTATTCCTGGGCACGTCAGAGGAATTTGGTTGTGGAATGGGATCCGCTGCCAGAGAAGAATGATTGAAGGGAACGCTTGGGGGAGGTTGTGGAAGAACGTCCTCATATTGCCTATAGCGCAAAGGCATGGGAATATTGACACGACGGATCCTCCTCTGTGCCAGCGATAAGTCGTCATTATCGTCGTTCTGCGTAGGCACAGCATTGACATTGGCGTCAAATACTGAGGACAGCGCATCCTCTTGCCCCGCCGATGGAGTTGAACCAGACGAATTCGCAATGCATGCCTCATTAACATGTGTGAGGGATGAGGACGAGTCTAATGGATGGTGGCCCTGCGCATTTGGAGGCACCTTGTTAGGCTGTGTAAGCGATCTGCCACTGCCATGCACTCGGGATCGTTTTACAGAGCCTAAAAGCTCTTTCGCCGTGGATAAAGCAGAAAATAAGTGTTTCTTGCCTTGTGAGCAAGAGCGTTGATGCTTGGTGAATGCGCTCTCCTGCATAAACTGACGTGTGCAGGTGCATTTGAAACGAACTGAAGTCCGAGATGAACCTTCTGGGTCCATGAGGAGCTCAAGGAGGAGCTAAAAGATTGGATGAAAGGGCGTCAGAGTTCGACAGTGTGTCAGAGGCTAGCGTAAATATAGCATTGCTATCATAGCGCCAGGTTGAACTTCGGGTTGCTGGCTGGGCTGACAGGCGTGATGCCGGCAAAGCAAGCTGGGCGGCTAATGGTACTAGTAGTCAAAAGTCAAGTTTCCAGTTCATATATAAGGGACTAAAACTTACGAACACGTCCTTACTGCACCAAACTGCTCAATGGAAATGCCATCTTCACCTTCCTCTACAATAACCGCCCCGCCTGACTATCGTGAAACCTCTCAGAGGTTAGCTAAACTCATCGTGGAAGCCATGACCTGCAACTTCGCCTTCCTGCATTACGACAGCACTTCTAGATCTATGATTGAGTGGTGTTGGTGAGATAATACCGTGCGAATATCCGACCATGACACTCACATATCAATGATACCATATAGGCCTCTCGATATTGATGGAGAGAAGATTCCGCCATCTAGCCTAGAGAGATGCCGCTGTGGGAGAAATCGTAGAAGTCCGCTATAGTGATAGCGTACCGATCCTGCTGGGTGCGAGAATAGTAGTCAACCCAAGGGGATAGCTCTGAGAGCAGTTCCTCAAGTATGAGCGAGGGGAACAGTGAAGAAGGAAGTGATGCGCTGAAGACAGAACAGCTAGGTATGTGAGGAGATGCGAAGATGCGAGAATGCGCGGAGATGTGAGGTATGCAGATGCGGAGATGCGAGGTATGCGGATGCGGAGATGCGAGGTATGCGGATGCGGAGAAACGAGTGAATGTCTAGAGGGTACCAGGTATGCGAACGGGTAGGGTACCAGGTATGCGAAACGGGTAGGGTACCAGGTATCGGAACAGGTAATCGGGTAGAGCGAACTAGGTACCAGGTATATGCGAAGATGTGCAGAAACCGCCTTGCAAAGGAACTCAACTAGGACTAGCAATAGTCAACTGTCAATGGCAATGCGAGCGTTTGCGCGGGATGAGAAGGCAAACAAGTGATTGCTCAAGCAAGGAAAGACAAGGTAAGACTAAGCTAGTGACTCCGCAACACACAACCAGAGAGAGGGAATGTAGGAAAGTGAGGTCCGTACGAGTCTGCGACGTAGTATATAACAGAGTCCGTAAGAAACCGGAACCGTATAAGCGGGCGCATATGCAAGCGAAGTCGGAAGGAGATACATGTAAGTAATGGTACGCGGCCTCGTGTATGGGAACTGATATGCAACTGGCCCTGTGAACGGTTAGGAATGACTAACTAAGAATGAGAACGCACCAGTGAGGACGGATGGATACAGACAGGACATGGACAGATAGTGCGTTGCGATGCGATGAGTGCGCGGATTCCGCAACCTCGTGTGATGGTCCGCAACGGCCTGTGGAAGGTAGGCATGACTTCGTCCAGTAAGGGGAAATGGTGCCGTACGGGGCTGCAGCCTGGGCGTCTCCTACACCGCGACAAATATGAATTGAGATACCCGTGCTGCTTATGTGCTGATGAGCGTGGAAGGGGGGCATATACGGAGGCAGCAGTGTACTCTTGGTGGAATAGAAGCACTAATAAGGCTGAATGGAAGGCAAGATGCACATCAGACAGATGCGGATACCAAGGTCAGCACTCTTCATGCTCAACGATATCTATAAATCCTGACTCACGGTCATCACAAAGTGAACATAGATAAGTTTTTCCGGCTGTCATTTGTAGCCACCTTCCGGTACCCTCCAAGACTCAGAGGTATGAGTTTACTTCACTGGGGAGCCACAGTTTCATTGATGAATTATACAGAGCAGCGGATCTTGCCTGTCGAATTCAAGTGGAACCACAGAGAGCAGACTGAGTTGTTGCATAGGCTTGGCTGTCCTGATGGATATGGAATTACGTCGAATGAGTTCCGAATTCTGTTTAAATGTTGCAAAAGATGCTTGCGAGTAGTATCAAGGCCATTGATGAACCGCCATATTCGAGTCTGTTCAGGACGACCTGAACCTCATAGTGCTTGATCAGTGCCATGTAGGAAGATTCCCTGGCAACCTTACATAATAATGTTTTGTTGATTTTTAGAAAGCTTTATTCTAATAAATGTCCCTGCAAAGAATGCACGTACACCAGCGTACACCTTGGACTCTACTTGGATCGTCAATCAGAATTGATAGTGTAAAATCACTTGGAACTCGGCGGGAACTTAGCACAGTTGCAAACACCTTTTTTGCCCCCACCATCAAAATTGATGGCCAGAGGTGAGTGCCGCGGAGCTGTCAAGATTCTCACAATGTCTGCCCTTCCTGAGTCCTTGAAACTACAAATAGTCTGCAATAGCTCGAGCGCCACGTACACACTACCACCACAGGAGTGATAAGCATGCAAGATGTCAACCTGTCTGTCACCGGAATTGTTTGACTACACGACTGCTCGTCTGAGCATTTTTCAACTTTCCAACTTATTAGGCAGTGAATTTATTGATGCCTACGTGGGGCTGATAACAAACCAGAAGGTCAATCAATATCTTCGCATCTTCGTGCATCCTAATTTTTTGCCTTTTTTCTTAGGTCCAAACTGAACTATACATTTTGTCGTATTTACTCAAAGGTCGAGTCTATCATGGCGACCTTTGGGAACTAGCTGGGGAGCGTAGTATCGAGGCGAAACAGGAGGAAACCCTGCGTAGACACCAGAGCATCTGTAATGGAACCGGAAGAAGCCATGCAGCTGTGGAGAGATATCTTATGGATGAGAGGAAGAGACAATGCCAGTTGGAAGTGTCTCTATACTCTCAGGCCATTGAAATCTTGGAACAGCTTCGGATGCGTGAGTTTATTTGACTTTGCGATGTAAATACATTGTCTAAACCCTCCGGCTGTAGCACATGTCGGACTTCTAGCCAAGCACGAGATCAGAACACCCTCTGCAGCCTGGAGGCACAGTGCTCCGCCTTTGGCCTGCTTGCCTTTGGCTTGTGCACCTTTAGCCTGCTCCATTTCTACGCGAGAGACATGTAACGCCTGTTCAGTGCAGAATGACGTGTATCTCAGCTCAGCCAATTCCTCACATTGGCATGGCTCGAGCCCTTTAACATCCATACCCTCTCCCCGGGCCACTGCGCAGCAGGAAAGTCCAGTGTCTGCCCTTTTGAATGTAAGTACTGTAATGTTTTGTGTGGCTGTACTCAAATGTCTCTACAGCACATCGGCCCCTCAATGCCCCTACTCAGTACTTGGGTAACTGCCGATGTTCAGAATGCCTTTTACAAGGCATTCCAGACAGAACTGGACATGCAGTCAGAACTAATGTCGAAATCTCTTGCTACTAGGCATAGCAATGCCTACCTCCGCAATCTTGGGCTGGATCTGCTCATCCTGCATTCGAAGATGCAACGCGCGCAAGCTGAGATAAAGCTCTATATGGTGGCTATTGATAACACTCGTTTGTTGGACTCTTCCGATCTCAGTGAGCAAAACCCAACCATATCTAACTCTACAACTGATGTCTTTACAGGTTCACACTCAGCCTGGGATGAAACTGTCGGAACGTCTCTACTGCCTGGGGAAGCGAGCCCCTACGACGATCTCTTTGACGGTGATATTGAAGAGCCTATTGACTTTGATTTCGACCCAGACGAATGCCCTGATGACCCTGAACTAGATTGACTGTCTGGAAGTGCATTTATTTATTTTCACCCACTGACATGATTTATTCTTACCTGTATCAACCGTTGTTTGCTGTTGTATTATGTAATGTGTATCACACATTTTGTCTTACGAAAAGCGGAGTATCAGAACCTTTTTTCATGGCACCTTATTTCTACGTAGTGCAACCTTCTGCACACGCAGTGATACCTTGATCAACGTTCGACGTACTACAAAGTTCGGATACATTCAAGTTTTCAGAATGCATCAGAGATGCAAGACAAGGTATTTTTCACCGCATCAAAATTTACGTCAGCACGGTGACGCAATGATCTAGATACACCGTGTTCTGGATTTGCTCTAAGTTATCTATCTTGGACAAGCAAACCCAAGTCGGTTTCTTGAAATTCACCTGACCGACACGGTCAGTTTGATTCATGTACCCGTAAGGGACCATGTGGCCAACGTACTTTGAGCAGGGGAGGGAGCATCCCATGGGATTTGATGGGGAGGCCAAGTACTTATTCCCTCGGGTGCGTACCGTTCTAATGCCCTCGCGCGATAGTGTTCCTCAATCCAACAATGTCTGTATACTTGGTACAGCTCTTCCAGTCTTGAACAGTTGGTTTCCGCTAGTTTCAATCTCTCTTTGAGCTTTGCCATCGAGTCCTCATCTCCATCTTCGAGACTTTTCACTGGCAGAAGCGAAGTATCACAGCCATTCCGCGCTGAGTGATTGTTGGCGTTCGCTATGAACTTTGCATGGGGACGCTCCTCACAGCTCTCATCTACGTCACAGCTACACGGTAGCTCGATCCTAAGCAATGAGATCAGCACATCGCACCACCAGGTGGGTAGGTCAAGTTTACCGCAAATTCAATTTGATGCTGCCATGACTAACATGTCCTTGTATGTTGGTTTGATGTCCTGAGGGCTGTGGCATACTGTCGAGGCGGCTGTACTGAGTTCTACTGGTAATAGCGACCTGCTACTGGGTGCTACTTGAAGGTCAAGGGGGTAACAAATTTCAAACTCGCCATTCTGACTGAAGTACAATCAACCAGTACGCGATGAATGGGTGGGCCAGTCCCTCACCCTGGCTGCCCTGCGGCGTGGCCACCTTTTTAGCCACCATCTATCATGGCCGCCCAGCTGGCCGCCAGATATTACATAACACAAAGCCAAGGATAAAAGCTACTTCCCGCACTTGCGAACCCGGTGGAATGGGCCATGGGGGGACGAGCCATGGGACTCTAACCAGATGCTGGGGACAAACAGGTGGAATGGGGTGAGAACTAGCTACTGACATGCACGAAGTATATCTACTGAGTGCCTCGAGGCCCGGGCAAGACCCCTGGCACCTCTGGCAGACCCCCAAATGAGCCCCTGGCCCAAACCCCCTAACACACCGGGATACCCCATCTTCCTCTCTCACAGTAGCTTTCATGGCCGCCCTCGATACCACATCCAGCATTCCAAGCAAGCGTGGCTCGTCAGCCCTCCAAATGGGGCCTCGAAAAAAAGCGTAAGCTGTTTCTAATCTTGACAACATGTTTTGTAGACTTGTCACGTCTTCCAGCTCTTCATCAGATCCGCTTGTTTCCCATGGACGCCACTTTGGTCGAACGGTGTTCGCGTTGTGTAACTACCCCTCCTTACTTACTAACGGTATTTTGAGGCTGGAAACAATGGAAGACAATCCATTGGAAGACTTCCCTGCTGAGTAAAAAAACATCTCTTTTTTTGCTTGTTTGCTGATGTGCTCGACAGAGAGCGGCGAGAGCATCGCGTCTTTGAGCAGCTCTTGGACTCCTATCCCGGCCTCCTGGATTGTTTGAAGGACGGGTCTGAGGAGGAAATACTTCACGTTGGAGAGCTGGTGCACCTTTTTTTTTTTTACGTCGTCGGAGCTTATGCTTATTTACATTTACAGATCGGTAAGGGCGCCGCAGGTGCCAGAGGCGACGATACCAAAACATTGAAGGCAGCGGTACTTGATTGGATCGCCCCGAACGGAGAAGCAATACAGCCTCCTCTACATAGAAATACTAAGATTGATCGTGGGTTTAACCACGAACTTACCGGATCTCTCCTCTGCCCTGCCGGGTTAAGCTGGAATGATCCTCAGTATGTTTCGATTTACTGGCATCAGCGCGATCCTGATTTTTTTGGCCAGGACAAAAGAAAACCTACGAAGTGGCGAAATGCTGGTCTCTGGGGATCAATGGCCGATTTTTTTGTATGCCAATCAGGTTTACAATCCTGAAGACCCGTGGTGCGGCCTTCTTAGGAGCCGCTTGATAGTACTTGTGCGTATTCGCCTGCATTTTATATGACTTACCTACTACATCTTATTCTACCAGGCCTACAAATATGTTTTTACATCTCCAAGCTCGGTTGACAGGGAGCCGAAGGCCACGCAATCTGGTAATGCCCGCCTCCACGGCATGATATCTGTTACCGTCGCCTCAATAGCGTACATCGCAACTCAGGTTTGTCGATCATCATACTTCTGTAAAATACAGGCTTTAATTTAGTGCTGAAGGTGCGATTTGCTTTAAGCTCGTCCTCAGTATTCTCGTGAACCGACACCACGACAGATTCGGAAACATTCTACCATAGTCTCCTCGACCTTTTAGAAGACACCGAGGAATCGCTGGAAGTCGATGAACTGCTAACGTGGTGGAATCGGTATATTTTATCGCTCTTCACTATGCTGCTTAAGCTGATATCACGCAACTTAGCCAAATTTTTCCCACTTCCTCAGCTGCCAAGAGGCCTATCAGTGCTAACAGCGCCTTATCCAAGATTCGACAAAAGTGTATTGCCCTCAAACAAGCTACCAACTTGGATATCCCCTCTGCGTAGTTTCTCTTCGTAGTATTTAATTAAACCGTGTTATTTCTTACTTTGTAGAAATATAAACTATAGCTTGCTCTGTAATCAATTCAAGGGACCGCATGGGAACAAACGTGCAACATGACTGGGAAATAATTGCGGGTCGGCAACGCGTCATATTGCCTGTCGTTTATACAATATTGCTCTAATATCACATGTGCTCAACTATGTTACCATCACCAACGATTTGGCGCCTTTTCCGCAATGCAACCTTGCGTTATATAATTTTGTCTGGCAACATCGTTCTGGCAAAGTTTTCCGAGGACACATTGGCCCGCTCTCCTTGCATGCGGCGACCGTACCTCAGCAGTCAGCCAACAGATGACACCGCATTGTCATGCATCCCCGATGCGGTACTTGTCTGGCCTTGGCACAAGGATCCAGAAGCTAGATAGACAATGTGGAGAATACAATGATAAACTACTTCGTGTGTTATTGTCGTATTACATCGATATTGAGACGTATGGCAGTGTGCTGCCGTTTGTGAACTGAATTGCGTACTTTAAAAATATAAGCATTGTGGGCTAGCGTGCCAGGTACATACCTAGCATCAGCGCCATGACAGTTGTTGTCGAGGGTCCAATATCAAGCTCTCCTTGCATATGATAACGGGGTTGAGATAGCTTTGAAATCTATTATGAACACTCAGCAGACTTGGACCGTCAGCGGTGTTGGTCCGATGTAGTCCGGCCATATAATACTTTGCCTGACACTGGAATTTATCAAGACATTGTGGGCGACATAAAAACAAACCAAGATTATGTACCATGACCAGGGAGAAGCTGAATTGTAGTGTATTGCCGCCAATTCTCAACCTGGGGACGGTGGTCGCTCCTGACATCGTAATCTTTCTTTGTGATTGCAGGTACGTGTTGGAACATGTACCATCTCGGTGATGAGCTGCGATAAAGTGTCTCAATTGTGCATTTGGTGGCTTTCATCCGACTAAGTCCGGGTATATACAGCTTTCTCACATGGGTTACAATTATGATAGATATTGTGCACATTTTAGATCAGATAATGATTTGTAAGAATTTATCGTTTTCAGGTCATTTACCTGATGTAGGTTGCTCACGATTACTATTTTATTGAGCTAAGCTCCACATATACGTAACAAACACCTCTCTCTTTTACGGCTAGAGAGACACGAAACAGGAGAACACGACAAAGTTGAAACAGACTTTCATAGGTTGAAACACGACCTACTAGGGTGAAACATACCTATCATATTTCTATTCACGACAAATCCACAGTTGCATTTCTATATAGTTTCTTCAAACAAATAGAGGTAACTTGTTTACTCTTTGACCACCCACGAACGACATGTTATCAACCGAGAAGTAAAAAAAATCTGTTGACCGTGGACTTGAGGAGCTGGCAACTTCTAGTCTTATGAAAGTGTAGTTGTGATTGTCACTGCATTTTTACACGCTTCTATATAAGACCCTCAAGTAACAAGACAGCGGTAGAGGCTGTGTTGTCGATCAACATGGCAGGAGGCATTGTGGGACTGAACTGACCATAATCATAGTCATAGTACCACAGCTATATGGGATACCAGACATGGAATAGCAATCGGGTCGCCAGCGAGCACATAATAGAATTTGAAGCCAGAGTGGAATAGCAATTGAATTGCTGCAGAGCGAGCATGTAATACGAAGTAGAGAATTCGATTTCACACTCCGCTGGTGTAGTAGGGAATTGGATTTCATACTCTGCTGGATTGGGAAAGTCTAATGTCCGCCGGGATTCACCACTATCGAATGTTGATAATCTTCTCGCACAAGCAGCCAGATATAATGGATGTCAGTTGCGATGCTTCTAAGTACATCTAACGTTGAGCACCCCAGCGATGACCTCCAACACTGACAATATAGTGCCCGTGGCGTCTATTGATGGTGCTTCAGGTTCAACCGCTGGTATGTCAACAACTGCATCATTCATTATTACTCCTTTTCTAACAGTTGTTTCAGATTCGCTTGCCACACTCTTCTCACAGTTGAATGTCCATGGCAACAATACGGTCACCTTGTCTTCCGCCCTGCATAGGGTTGTGCAGAATGCAGTTGTTGCTGCTTCTCAAGAAGTGGCTATCGCTGCTGGAGCTCCTGCGATACCTGCTTCTGCCCCACCAGTCACCACTGCACCGCCAGTCATTACTGCTGATCCTCCTGCAGTCACTTCTGCTACTCCGGCCAATATTGTCGCTATTGCTACCGCACGTCACACAAGGACTCACCATGGAGTGACCTATGATGTTCCTCACCCAAACACGTCCGGCCCTTTCTACTGGGTCAACCGTGGGCGTCGTATTGGTGTTTTCGCGACTTGGTGAGTGGTATCCCAATCTTGAGACTTTCTTCTGATTAGCGTCGCAGGCAGGGGACATCTATTCACGTAACTGGAGTAAGCCGCTCTTCCTTTTCCAAAATTCACTCTGTCGCCGAGGGAATTAGATTGATCAAGGGGGCAATTGACTGCGGGGAGGCTGAGACAATTTTCGATACGTAGATGTTTTTACCGTGTCTTCTTACAATTGGAGAATAATTTTGGCATTATGCCACGGATGGAAAATACACAGCAAATTGCTTAGACCACAGATCCTAATTAGCCTTTGTAGTTCTGGTATAGCAACACTCCCAGGAAATGAGCTTCTGCCAACCCAGAATCTCTGTCACCGAGTGTAACACAATAAATATCTTCCACCATAGCAATGGTGTCCCTCATGCACCGACACACCTGGTCTGCGGCTCGCCACTCATCACTAATTCCACACAGTCGTAGAATACCATCTTGCCCTCGACTGGCCCTGTGAAGGAAATCCTCGATGCTTGACATAGCGCATGTGGGGATTTCTCTATCTCCGTGCAGTCCAGGAGTGTCTGGGATGGACTTCGTGTATTTTGCTAAGACACCAACGACGAATGTTTGTGGGGATTTGATGTGTTGCATGAAATCATCCTTGGCAAGTTTAACCATGGCGATACAATCAGGCAGTGTGTCGCTGTTAATATTAAACGATTTTCAAACACCTCCTCGACAAAAATATTATTACTAACATTGATTCTTGGTTGTTGTCGTCTGAATGGTCCTCATCATCGCGGCGGGTGTTCCTATCTTTGCGTAACTGCCTCCGTCTCGCTAGAATAGCATCACGGTGCCTAGACCTTTGATTAGACATGTTTGAGTGCTAACTGAAAGAAAATGTCACGTACTTCTCATGGTAGCGACGGCGCTTGGCCCTCTCAGCTTGTAGTTTAGCTGCAGGGGTTTTGTATATAACAGGAGGCGCCATGATAGTGCGAATTTTAAGGGATGCTGAGCCAATGTTCACTGAGTCTGATGAGAAGAAAAAAATGTTATGGATACACTCACACTATTTGAACCCACTGGGAGGTGCTTCGATCATGCTTCGATTCAAGTTGGTCGGACCATATTGATTATGGAGAGCAAGCATTACTGTGCACTCATAATGCTAAGCTGTGGACACTAGTAGTCGTGGGTCTAGTGCGCGGTATGAACAATTGTGCAGCAAGGTGATCAACATACCTTCTGCTGTATGATGGATAGTGAAATCAGTGTAATTTTATAAATATTGTTGCCAATGTACGCAGGATGGACCTTATGAGAGACGGTCAGACCTTAATATATAGCTGCCGCAATCCTAGCAATATTGGACTCCACATACCATACCAATCATTACCGCAGTGACCATTGTCATTGCTTGAAAGACTGTTTCTTGAAGCTTGAAGATTAACCAGTGGCTGGTATTGTACACGGTAGGACGGCAATTCAAGTTGTGTTCGATGGTAGGACCATATCAATTCACTGGAAACGGCGATATCGTATGTAAGTTGTAATGTTGTTCATCCCGCGCACTATTATACTAATTCATTCCTTACATTGACCGCCCAACATTGGACGTTCTGAGTCAGTTATTGGCAAGACCTGTAGGCTACATCTATTCCGGATATTTGGTCCTCAAAGGTATGCATGGTAGGACCGTATCAATTCACTGGAAATGACATCATATGTGAGTTGTAACCTCGTTCGTCCCGCGCACTATTATACTAATTCATTCCTTACATTGACTGCCCAACATTGGACATTTTGAGCCAGCTGTTGGCAAGACTTGTAGCGTTCATTCCGGATATTTGGTCTTCAAAGGTATGCATGGTAGGACCGTATCGACTCACTAGAAATGACATCACATGTGAGTTGTAACCTCATTACTAATGTCCCGCGCGCTATCATATTAATTTATTCCTTACATTGACCTTTCAATCATATTCAGTCACTATGTTCATTCAGAATACATGTGAGTGCCATGGCGCATACATTGGAGTCAATTATCTGATCACATTGGGCGGAAGCCTTTGATATTGAGTATGATGATCATTCAGTATTGCCTTCCTGCACTTCTGTTGTTATGTGCTGATCTTCTTCCGAAGATTTCTTCCGAAGACAGAGCTCAAATTCTTAGCATGGGCCTACTATATATGTAGTTGATTTTTCTGCTGCTCGTACTCATTCCAGCCTCGCACTGACTCAATGTCACATCAGAGGGATGAATCCACGTCCATGTTTGATGTAAGTAAAACAGTCCTTTCACGCGCTGTTTGTTGATTTCAAGTCAAATAGTCATTACCCAAGAAGCCCCTTCCCCTCCGCCAGATTGAAGAAGAATTCCTCCAGTCTCGTTCAGAGGAATTCTTTGCAATACGGGATCCGGCTCAACGACCGTTTTTCTTCAGCAGACTTTTTTCAAGTTGGTTTGCACGTTGGCCCGAGGAGAAAATGTTGTTTCCCGGTACATCATTTTATAAATTGACTCCAAACCAAATGGCCGCAGTAGGAGTGGCGGTGCGAAAACGCCGCAAGGTCTGTCTTTTGTTGTCTTGTACTAGAAATCATATAGGTACTGATTGTGCGCTCACGTTCTTAGAATCTTATGGCCTATTACACCTCGTCTGACAGGCGGTATCCCAGATGCCCCAAGGCCCGTAGTTGTGGGTGCTAATGTCTCATGAGAATCCGCTGCGCTGTTTCTCACATTGCTTGCTACAGAGGATGTCACACAAATAGGCACATGTGACAGGTGTGGCTTGTAGATCATGTAAAGAACACATCCTTTGTAGCTATGTAGCGAATTCGTTGCAAGAACACGAGGCTGAATTTTTTGATGAGACCAGAACCCAGTAAATCCATGAGAACGATGTGTGAACCATCCCCCTCACCATTTGAGAACGACGCGTGAACCTCCCCCCTCGCCATTTGAGAACGACGTGTGAACATTCCCCTCGCCATTTTCCATTAACTGCTAGTACGTCCAACATCAAATGTGAGTGTCAACACCATGTCACAATGCGGCAGTATGGACTCACCGCTATGAGAAGATGGGTAACAGGAGTTGGGCAACAAAGGACCAAGCGGCACTTCTGCAGACATTCCTACCAGCTTACATTGAATGCATCCCCGCGAAAAATTACGAGCCTGTATTGAAAAAAGTGTGGCTGGATTTTTTCCAGCGTTGGCCAGAGCACGAAGTGGTTTTTCCTGACATACCAGCCGATGAGGTATTGTCAGTCCAGCAAACCAACATGCTAGCAAAGGCGGTCAGCGCTCGGCAACTGGTAAGAATTCTACAATGAATATGTGTCATACTAAAACTCTCCCTGTGTCACAGCAAATCACATGTTGGTACCGCTGGCAAACCAATGTGTCACGCATGAGCCGTACAAGCGGAACGTGGGGGGTGCTGAAATTTGATGCGGTGTTGGCAGGTGGGGTGACCAGTAAACGTGCACCCCGAAAAATGCATGTCTATTCACATCAGTATTATGACGAGAAGGTTAAGATGGACGCGGACAAAGCCATTTGCACCGAAAATGTCACCAACCGTGGTCCCAGACTGAACAAGTGTTTAGCTCTCACTCAGGAAAAGTTCGAGGCAGAGAGCGAGGAGGTGAAAGAACAGGTGGAGAAAAACTATCACAATGCAAGAGCGAAGTTTGCCAGAGACCGTAAGCGTCTAAAGGCTGGAAAGATGCCAAAAGTTGATGAGCACACAAAAAACAAGTAAGTACTTCCTGGTGATTGACTGGTGAGATTTCTCATTGATTGTCAGCACCATTCGTGAATTGGGTCCAATGCTGGACCGTGTGTTCCGCTACCTATCTCATGCGACCGATGGCTGGAAATTTTCGGTCCTCATGGCAGGCCCTGACCCAATAAAGTGTGGGACAGCGGTCTATGAGTAAGTCAGGCTCTGTCTGTGTTAAACTGCTCACCAGCACGCAAACTGATGCCATTTAAGTTACCACATAGGCGAACTCGATAATGGTATTCAGTTTAACACATTTTGTGCTAACTTCAATGCCGTCCAGGAAGCATTTCTGGACTTCACTAACAAAGCGATTGGTAAGCAGCATTTTTTCAATAATAAGGTGCGGTACTTACTGTGTCATAAAGCCTTTGAGGCCACTCTCCCCAAAGACGATGAGGAGGATGGGAGTGACAATGACACCAGCAACAACTCGGAGATGAACGCTGGTGGGAGCGGTGGTGCTGCGGCCGTGAATGAATTCAACAACCTTGCCTTTCGCACGGACAGTTTGCATCGCATATCACCTGATTCAGAGTCACAGGAGGTAAGTAATGCACTACCTACACATCCATAATGCATTACTGATGATTCTTACCATCCATCTAGCTTCGAGACAACCGTCTTGCATTACCACATGATGATTTCAGTTCTGACGATTTCGGTTCAATGGTGCCGGGTCACTTGTTGGATGAGGTCCCTCAAGTGAGTAATGCGCTGCAATGTATCTTTACCTTTACTGACGACATATTACTCCAGGACCAACGTTCTGTGTTGCCTGACCAGTTTAATTTCCACAATCACGACCTCAATTTTGGGCTGGACTTCAGTGATGATGCCCCGGCTTTAATTGGCATCAACGCTCCTCAGTTCCAGGCGTCTTCCCTGGACTTTTTCACCCCGAACTTCGTGAACACTGCCGGGAACCTCACCACTGCCCACACTGCCCCCCAGAATGATGTTCCTCAGTTCACAGCGTCTCCTCTAGACCCGTTCACCCCGAACTTCGTCAACACTGCCGAGAACCTCACCACTAGCCCCCAGAACAATCTTCCTCAGTTCACAGCACCCCCACTGGACTCGTCGATCCCGAACTTTCCCTCTGTATTGATATCCGACATGCCATTGACGTTGCCCCCACCACTGACTCCTCCGCAGACCCCACATGCTATTGATGTTCACCTGCCTGCGGTTCCCGACAAGGCAGCGGGTCCAGCAGGTCCAGATTCGGATGAAGTGGTGCCTTCCCATCCCAACCGTCGCCGACGTACAAGGGTGTCTGCTGTAAGTGAGGATACACAGCAGATCCCTCCTCCAGCAGAGGAAACTCGTCAACGCCGTGCGCGTAATGTTGCTTTTAACAGACGCGAACTTGATAACGCCATCGGGACTTCAACTGCTCAACAACATGTAGCGAACAAGTATGTCTGATTTTGGTTTTATGTTCAATTTACCCATAGATCTTTTTCTACAGGAGACACAAGCGAGGGTAGGTATGGACATCCATTGTATCCAGCTCCGATAATCAACACGGTAATGCCCAGCATCTGAATCGCTAGATGATTAGTGTATATACTAGTTTTTACTCAATAATATAATCTTGACCACATGTTGATCATCGCGAGAGCACCTGTACTTGACCGGGTCATGCATAATTATGGCTGATTAGACACAGGCTGTTATGCATGGCTACCTGTAGTCTTTGACATTATGCATAATCCCCTCGACTGTACATGTATGTATAGTAGTTGTTCTCACAATGCATAATGCCCTCGGCTGTCATATATGACACGTCGGATCTTCTCTTACTACATCCTTCTAAAATCGCGATCTCGGTGCCCGATTCAATGATTATATATAGCTACCAACACGGACAAAAAAAGAAGCCTTGTGAACAATGTTGATAATCCTATTTAGGGCACCACCACTGCTGGGGGTGAGCTGCTTGTGGGAACTGCACGCTGTTTTCTTACTACCAGGTAGGATAGGTTCAGGGTTAGCTGTTAGTTGAACTCTGGACCAAACACATCTGAATGTGTTTGGGAGGTCCGGTTCGTGTTCGAACTGGGTTTGACTGCAATCTCGAGGTGTTGCATCGACAATGGCCACCACATACACCACGTACACCATGCCATTCCCAACACCACGAACACCATGCGCAAACGCCCAGTGCACATCAGCAACTGCTGACGTGGCTCAGACGAGTGCGGAAGATGGACAAGTGCGGAGGATGGACGAGAGTGCAGAGGATGGACGAGAGTGCAGAGGATGGACGAGAGTGCAGAGGATGGACGAGAGTGCAGAGGATGGACGAGAGTGCAGAGGATGGACGAGAGTGCAGAGGATGGACGAGAGTGCAGAGGATGGACGAGAGTGCAGAGGATGGACGAGAGTGCAGAGGATGGACGAGAGTGCAGAGGATGGACGAGTGCAGGACAAGGGAAGAAGACGAGCAGGAGATCAAAGGAGAGACACGAAGTAATCTGTTGCCCTCTAGTTATCAGTTTTCATGTGTTGTCAGTAGCAGGCATGACAGTGGGAAAGAAATACGGAAAATCGGCACCATCCTCGAGCATCTCAGTCTAGATGTCAACCCTTCCATCGCTGCCTGTGTCTTTTCCATCCTTGCGAATGTTGTTCCAAGACAGGGTATGTCAGAATGAGCGCTAATCGCTGAGCTGCTCTACAGCACACACAATTGCATAGGGCCTGGACTATGGTTGAAACGAAATGCTGCGCAATGCACAGGGATTAGGAAGTACATGAATAGAGGGGTTGCCAAATGCACGCACATTGAATCAGGTGAATTGCTCACCCTTCCATTCGGCAGGCAAACTCAACCAGCTGCCAGTAGTTTGACATCCATCGAAATCACTATCAATGTTAGGCCACAGCAGATGATAAGACCTCACCGACGATGCTTTGAATAGTACTTGCTAGCAGACTCGGAGATACTGGTCATGGGACTCATGGCTTCCAGACCGAGACAGCATGCAGCGGCAGCAAAGGAATTGATTTTGACACCTGTGTTGACCTTGAAGGATCACATAAAGTTTGGTCTATCCATGTGAAGTTGGGAAATCGATGTAACAGAAAAAGACTTGGAACGTTATAAAGCTGGTTGAACATTGATCATCGAGTTGAACGAGATGGCAAGTTAGTAGTTACTATACATAGACGAAACTCCCAGTCACAGCCACCACTTCGGGACACTTTCGATGTTCATGATTTTAAACAAATTTAACCGCTACATTAATACATAAAGCCTCTGATGAATCCAACTACAATATATTTCACGCGTGTGTCGTTAACATATTTAAAAATTGTTGAAAACTAGCTATATACATGTATGTGACATCAATCTAGTCCTCGTACTCAGAGTTCCGGTCCAAGTTCTGAACCTGTTCGAACCTCCGGGATCATCTGCGAAAGAGTAGGATCATCACCCTCTGCGAACTTACCAAGCGGTGTCGCTTACCCAATGAGAACGGTGTCTGTGATGTTGAATGGGCATGTGATGACCATGAAAGAGACAAGCAACCACCCGCAAAATGTGATTGTCTGTGACTCTGCTATCCCAGCGCCCATGAATGTTTGCAACATTGCAGGCATCATTAACGGCGCATGGGTCAGATCAACGGTAGTCATGCGTAGGCATCACTACATGCCAGTGTTCCAGCGCGTGACTGCACCCAATCCCCCCGCGAAACGGTCCAAAGGAGGGGTTGGTTTTGAACCTTGCTTGTTGATTTTTTACGTGGACGGGGATGAGTCCGTCGATATGCACAGGACAGAAATGCAGAAGTTTCAGAAGGTTTATGCGAAATATAAGGTTAGCTTGGTTGTCGTGATTTGCGGCTGCAACAATGATGAAGACGCGAAAGGATGATGGGATGGGTCAAACGACGGTAGCAACACACTTACCTCAAGATGCGCCAGGACATTCTGAGAGTGCTCAAAAGCACTCCAAAGGTTGATTTAGCTATGTGGTGAAAGCTGAGCGCTACAACTTTCTAGGTCGGTCAGATGACTGTGGTGGGTGCAGGGGTACTAGTGGCAGGTGTTCTGCAAGTGTCTAACGTTCGAGGAGGGCAGCAAAATGTAATTGCAGCAAGGGCACAAGGGAAACAGTAGGTCCAGTGCGGTAGAAGGGCAGTGGTAGGTCCAGTGCGGTACAAGGGCAGTGGTAGGTCCAGTGTGGAGCTGATAAGTGAAATGGAGGGCGGGAGAGCAGGAGAAGCGGGCAAGAAGCACGAAGAATGAAGCAAGGAAGCAGGAAGCAGGAAGCAGGAAGCATTAGCTGTATTAGGTATGAAAATCACAAAAGAGGGTGACTGAGCTAAGAGAAACCTACCGGCGGCATTATGCATTGTGGGAATCCATCATGCATAATGGCTCGAGCCTCGAGAACTAGAGACAACCATGCATAATGGTGTAGTTTCTAACCAGACATGGTTATGCATAATTTGGACAGTATAGCCTGGCGAGAGAACTTATTGTATCACACTGGACACAGCTGGGACTTAAGAATTTTGCGACACAGCCGGGATTTGAAAAACTTTGCTTATACAGAGATCCCCTTGTTGGACTATCGCGAGAGAACACACTGTATCACTGGACGCAGCTGGGACTTGAGAATTTTGTGACGCAGCGGGACTTAGGGAAAATTTTGCTCATGCGGAGATCTCCGTGTTGGACTTTAGGACTTATTCGAGCATGCAGGCTGGCTATATGGCAAGTCCCACGTCATCAGACTCAAACCGTAAAAACCATAAAGTTAAATTAAATTCATGGTAATCAAGCAACTAGAATGAGTGTGAGTAATAATAGGATGCATTGCGGGGGAGGGGGCCGCCAGGAACAGGGCCAGGAGGGCAAGGAACAGCCGTGACCAGCCTGGACCAGGAATACAAATTTTTGAAGGCCAAGAGGATGGGGCCTATATCTGGCAGTATGTGCATCTAACAAAGTATAATGCATTATAATGCATTACAATACACCTAATGCATTACATGACCGCTTTGGGTGACAGTAATGCAACCATATGCTTAGCATCGCTGTTGCATTACCCCCCACTGATAGTTAGCCTGCTTTAATGCACTAGAATAGCAATATAGCCTGGCTTGATATCAGCGTCGATGAAAGATCGAAAGTGACGTGAATTCATAAGATGTTTGGGGCGCAGTCAAAGACAAATAAAATGGCCGCTGAAGCATCCACGTGTCTGAAATGTTGTGTGGGCGTGTATTCAGAATAGCTTGATGCGATGGGATGAGGAAAGGTGGTCTCTGTAAACGTTTACGCGGGCTAAACAAAACTTACAAGCGAGCAACGATCAAAGTTGAATGCCTGCAGATTGACGCGTTAGCACTGATTGTAAATTTGGTCATGGCTGTGAGCTGAGAAGCGATGAGAAGTCAATGCGATGCATGGCGTAATGCACAGGTGTCCTTGCGGAGGGGGCGGTGTAAGGGCATAGTATAAATAGACATATGCAAGGCGGCGCCTAAGGCCAACAACTGCACTCACATTCGAGAATCCATCACTTTCAAAGTTCTTCGCTGCTAAAGCGCTAACGTTTCGGTACACGAAAATCTCCTCTGAACTTCCAGCGCAAATGAACTGATGTTTTGCTTTACCAGAGGACCCATCTTTGAATCGCTGATCACGTCAGTCACAAAGCACATTGGCGCCAGGAGACCTCACCGAGGAACACATACAACGACTACCTTTCCCGAACTTGACTACCACTCGCGGAGACGCAGCCATGGCTTCCACATCGACGAAGGCAGCCGCCACGAAATCTATTCTGACAGCGGCAACAACCTTGAAGGGTCATGAGAATTGGATTCAATCCATATCCTACTTTCCTGATGGCCAGCGAATAATCAGCGGATCTGATGATAAGACCGCTCGGCAATTGTTACAGTAACATGAAGCCCCTATCTTTTTCTAAACCCTTCACCCCGTCACAACGTCACACCTTCACCTCTTCACGATTCACCATGATGCTTAAATGCACTTCCTGATCCCCGCCGACCCTGACCTTCTGTGACAAAAGCTAGACGCTTCCATTTGGACCCTTGATCTATGGCCTCATGGCCCTACTTCCTTTTCCCTTGATGTTCCCACAAGAACCATATCCCTGACCGCATGGACTCCTGCCTGTTTATGCCTTCCCGATATATCCTTCTTGACTCTTGTACAATTACCAGACCTGCCCTGAACACTGTGATCTTTACCTATATATAGTCGATCCACTTGTACTATTATTCCTTAACTTGATTCTACTGGGTTTTACCTTGACTTGTATATTCTCTTGAGTTAACTCTCTTGAGTCTGATCACGAACCCTCTATACTCTTGGATCGCTATCCTTGAGTCCGATACATCTTCTCTTAGACCGTTTGTCTTTGAGTCGATACCGATCCCTCGTCTAGACTTAACCGTCGAACACGAAACCCTTCTTCGGCCGCTGCCTTAGAAGCTTACCTCCCCTTCCGTTCTGTCACAACCTGACGGCTTAGGCTACCAGGTATATTGACGTTCAACCGATACACGACACGATAGCTTAGGACCGTCGTCCTTCGCTTACCCATCCCAGTCCGACTACGACCGTTGTCGTAACAGCAATGGGATCTGAAAGCGGGTAAGGAGATTGAGGAAGCGCGGAGTGTTTGCGAGAAGGAGGTACTGGCAGTGGCGGTATCAAGAGATAGTCGATGGGTTGTTACTGCTGGTGGAGGTTACAGATACGGGGAGCTGAAAGCCTGTGAGGTTGCGACGGGGATTGTGAAGACATTCACAGGCCACACAACGGAGATCAACTGCATTGATATCTCCGCGGACAGCAAGCTGGTGGCGAGTGGGTCAGCTGATTCTACAGCTGTTGGCCCCATTCACTTTTACACGTGACCATGTCAAGATGATCTACGAGTTCGACGCATCGACACTGGAGACTGTGGGAGCGGCAAGTTCCTCATACGAAGGGGTCGACCTTTTTTGGTCCCACGTGACCAAAAAATGGTCCGACACGTGAAGACCATTTACAGGACCAACCGTAAGTCACGTGACACGTTGAAAAAAGCATAGGAGGGAAGAAAACACTGGCTATCGTGCGGGGAGGGGAAGGAAAATGATGCGGGTGAGGGGCGAGGGGTTGATGGAAGCAAGGAGAAAGTAGTGTAGCACACAGAAAATGAATCAATTAAAAGTAGCGAGGCAGGTGCAAATACTAAGAAAGTGATGTGAATGTTTGAAGGAACGAGAAGGAAAACAGAGCTAGAAAAAAAACTATGGGGTCCAGTGCTCCTGAAGATACTCGACGCGAAGGTGCTTGACACCACCATGCACGGTCAGCAGTGCATCTGGCGTCGATCCGTCAATCTCAAGCTCCTCGTACAACTTGAATAGCACGGTCCCTGATTCGAGTGTTGTTGACCGGTCCAGCAGCATCCTCACGAACGATTCCTGCTCAAGGGCGGGGCTTTCACCAGACGGCCGGAGGAACACTTGCTCGTATATTTGTTTGACCGTCTCGAGAAATGCGCGTGGATGGAAGTGCTTGCCCTCCGAAAAGATACCTGGTGGCTGTGGCCAGGGGGGAGGCGCCTCGCGTTTGGACACTTGCTTGGCACCATCAGCGCAGAAGCCCCTTCAGTGATTTTCCTCTGAGTTTTCGGGTGCGGGATACATGATGGTCTTGCAGCGTGAACACGTGTGAGCCTTTCGAAGCTGAAAAAAACAAAAACATCGGTCAGCATAACAAGGCAGGGGAGTTGAAGACTCTAAACTAACTGACCTTCTTGCCGGCCTCAACTTTGATCAGTTCGACTGCCTTACAGTGCCTCTTCCAAAACGTGTCAGATCCGGAGCGTGCTATAGCGGTGAAAATTTGTGAGTCCTCGAAGTTCGGCCAGTCATGAAATCAAAAACACGCACATTTGTAATCATCCTTTGCGATGCGGGTCATCACCGCAACTTCGATGTCTCCGAGCTTCCGAAGAAGTGCTTGAGGGTTCTTCTTGACCGTGTTGAGTCCATCTGCGTGATTTTGGTCCTCGAGCCGGAGGTTGTAAGTTTCAGTGGCTAGAACCCACTGTCTTGGTGTCATCTTGAAAGACACCCACTTGAACTCCTCTCGCATGGCCATGAAGAGGTGAAACTCCGTGTCGCCAGTGATCTGCATCGCGCGTGCATCAATCCTCGTTGCTATGGTGAAGAAATGTTGCGAGCGAGTCATGCCGGGGGGCTTTTCAATGGGTGTTAGGCGACAGTTTGTGGGATTCCTGTTGTCAGGCGCATTGTGAGGAGGTTCGTGTTCTGTGGGATCCCCAGAGTTGTCGGCCACTCGAACTAAGTGAAGTGTGATCATCTCGACAGTTTGTCAAGCGGCTGCCATGAGTAGCGGACTCGGACGAACCTGGTGATTGGTTGATGGGATGGCTCACAGCCCCAGTATCCTGGGATGTGGGAGGAGTACTGGCAGCCACACCAGAAGGAATTTGCAGCTGCTGTTGCTTGAGTGTCTTGCGGTATGGTAAACGACTCGTGAGCTTGAAGTACCGGTCCAAATCGGTGGTCAACAATGGGCAAGGCAGACCTTTAGTGGATGTTGCCGCTGACAAAGGCACCTGAGAGAAAGATAGAAAGATCAGAGATGTCAATTAACATGTTTCTGACATGCGTGAATGTCAGACAGAAAGCTTACCTTGTCGTGACGAGACTGGGATTCAGCGTGCTTTGTGACTTTGCGAGGAGGCTGAGGGTGGTTGGAGCTGTCACTTCCATCAGAGACCACGTCGGCATCCTGTGCCTTGCGCTTTGCTGATTGTGGCTGCTCCAAGTCCGCAGTCAGTTCCTTGGGTGATGGCATCTCGGGCACCGACAAAAGCCGAGGGTCGATGTCCAATTCCTCGACCACTTCTGTTCTGGTGGACTGCAAGACGGACTCCATCTGACTCGGATCATCGTTGACGAGCTCGTCAAGCAACTTGGTGAACGGGTAAGGGTCGTCCAATTCCTCTGTCTTGATGTCAAGCAAACCACCGAATGTGGATGCGAAGCTCGACTTGACGAGGCCGAAGTGCTCCATTGACAGAACTTGCGTGAGCTGAGGGAGTGGGCGCGTGTTTCTGGTAGCCTTGTCCGAGTCTTCGAGCCGGAGTTTGTTGGATAGTTGTGCGATTCGGTCAACGAGGTGGACATGATGAGAACCATGGGTCGAAGAAAGGAAATCAGATTTGTGTTCCCGTTTGGAGGCAACACGGACGTTTCGACGGAGAACGAAGTCATGGCAGAGCGCTGTAAAGGTCGTGATTCCACTGCTGTGAACTCGCTGCAGAGAATTCCAGCCCTTGTGAGATCCCTCAATTCGGCTTCCGTCTGTGCGTATATCTTGACGTGGACGTTCAAGGCACCCCTTCCGTACGTGTTTCAGTTGTTCTTCATGCACCTAACTCATTTCAAATATGGTCAGGGTTTGTCAATCCTTGCACGAAGGACAACATACCTTGCGTGCTCCTCCGGACCACACGGTACCCTCCTTTGACCACTTCTCAAATGTACCACTGAGTCTTGCCTCTTGCTCATGCTGATCCCAGTACTCTGCCGGTTGTTTGCCTTCTGCATGCTTCTTCAGTATGCAGGTGGCAATCTCGGCCACCACTTCCTTTCGGTGCGGATTTCTTGATGGATTGAGGATCACGGCTGCATACCTATAGTTTTTTTTCGGGCAGGTCAGTATTTGCTCAGGGATGGTACTAGTACAATGTGCTTGCCTCATGATAAAATGCCACACATCGAGTTTCATTGCGGCGTGAGGGAAAATGACGGTAACCGCACTTCGCACATGACAACAGTTGTCTGCGACGAAGATCTCAGGTGGAGGGACATCAAGCTTGTTGCACCGAGTCTTGAGACCATCGAGAAGTTCGGTGATCTCAGCATTGGACTGACCGTGACAAAAACGCTGATCCTCGTCTGTCAGATATATATGTCAATAATCTATGACAAGACCCAGACTCACCCAGCCAATGATCTCGCCATTCTCGTTCATAAGGCTGATGATCCCGCCCTTCAAGACCTTTACCTTCTGCTTGTCTCGATTAGTCACTGAAGCTTTGCCAGCCGCACGGAAAGTATTGTCGAAGGAAACACTGATACCTGATCTGCTAGTGAGTTCACAGTTGAACTTTTGTGTGAGCGAGGCTCACCTGATAATGTCCGTAGATAATCCTCTGATTCCCTCTCCCGTGTCCCCGAGACAAATTCCTGGAAGACCTCGGTAATGACATCGTTCGATATTGGCTTATCATTGTAGTTTTTCTTGTCGTGAGGATCGGAGAATGCCTGCAGGGGGTTGGGGCTAAAGTAGTCCATGCCGTGTCGTGCAATGCGGCGGGACCTAAAAGCTTGCAGGTAAGCTAGTTTACGTCGGTTGTATTCAAGTAAGTGAAGCTCTGTATGGTTAAACTACAATCAGGTGGCTGGTCTAAATTTAGAACTGATGCTGCTCACGTCTGATGTTCTCCGCGAGACCACCTGTGGTCGATGACAGCCGCAGCTCAATCAACAAGTCGAAGAGCTCACGTGTCACAGCGCATCTCCGAAAAAATACAGGTATGCCCGCTTCATAGTATAAACTAATAATCAATTTGCTTGACGAAGGCCTGCAATGGTGCTCTCACCTGGAATGGACCAATGTGGCCAGGTGTGCCAGAACTCCGGATTCGTCGTGGCGAAGCAGTGACCCTTGAGCTGAGTCCTAGAATCGTGCCCTTGCTCCTGTTGCTCTGAGTCACCACAGTCACTCTGCTGCTGTCCTTTCTTGCTTGTCGGGTCCTTCTTGCAATTCTCACAGCGGATTTGGGTGCCAATTGCTCCTTCGTCAACAAACAGGCCATGGACATCTCGTGGACCTGTGCCGGTCCACCCATCCCACTGGACACTGTCCGTACAGTCGCATCGTGGACATCGTGCGAGTTCAGGATGGTAGAATGGGTGAATCACCCGAAGTGGCTTCAGGTACAAGGTCTCTGGATTGACCGCGGGCTCGGACTGATTTCGTCGAAGGGCGTGCAGGTACAATGGTGGCACAAAATGTGGGCCAAGAATGGGAGTCTTGAGATTGAGGCACGGTCGTGTAAGTGCCTTTGCAGACCGTATTCGAGTCTTGTCTGAAATGTAGTTGATATACTCGACAATTTCGGCCTCCCACTCATATTGACGCTTTGGCCGTGAATTTTTCATGCGCTCGTCATGGCCAGTCCATGACTCAACACGTTTTTTGACCTGCGTCGAAGTTGATCATTGCAAGGTCAGTCCTCGTCTTAATAGATGCCTGCACCTGCTTACTGCGTTTTTCCAGTTTGATTCGAACTTATTTTGCGAGTCTTTCGGCTCGAGAGCTGACAGTAGCTTGCGCATCACGTCTGGTTCATACACGGACATTCTTGCGCAAAGTAAAGGTAGAACTGTAGAAGAAGGTGGCAGGGAGGAACGCACTGATGCTGTGTAGCAAGTGTGTACAGGGCAGGCAAGGACCCGAGGCTTTTGTGGCAATTAGGGGTGGAGACTCTTTGACCTTAACGACTCTCACCACACTACGTGTCTAGCAATTTATACTACTCGACTACTTATTCATTCAGATACTGTGAGACTGCTGTGCCAAGTTGCCGTCAAAAGAATTTCGTTCTCGCTTCTCTGATTGGTGGGGATGGAACAAATTGAATTAAAATCTTCTAGTTCAAAACTAACCTAGCGCTACAGTCTACTACTCAATCTCAACCATGGCTCCACACATCCATCATGTCTCTTCATCGAAGTCTGCGGGAGGGAAAAAGGCTATCAAGAACGAAAACACAGAGCAAGCTATCCAGGTATTCAGTGGCAGCAGCGGCACAGATGTCAGCTCTGTCAGAATCAACGTGGATTCGCAGATTCACCTCGAGGATGTTGCACAGTTCGTGCAGTTTGGATTTGATGAACAAGTCAAGCAACTCGCAATTCAGTCGGGTTTTCAGGCAGCGGTTGTCTATGAAGTGTATGGACGTGTCACCACCTTCAAACGGACAAAGAGAACCATGCGAGTCATGCGCACCGCTGCCTTCGAACGGGCCAAAACAGATATCGAAGAGCAAGAGGCGGAGGACCTTTATGTCAGTGGCAATGAGTCTGAGGATGACGGAGTCAGAGATCAGAAGTAAACACGTACACGTATCAAATTGTATCTGTGATGACTACACCTTGAATCAATGAACGCTTGCAATTCGCTGGAGGAACGGGACATGAGAGCGAGCTATGTAATTATGTGGTAAGACTCGAGATATCAAATAACTTCAAGGGACGGCCGAACAGGACTCACAGCAAGGCCACGCCAAAGCAAATTATCTTCTCAAGCGAGAAACAGCAAAACACGTACTTGATTCATATCCGAAATTTGGAGACACACGGTGGAGAGGATAATCGCGTAATGACGAAACTGTGATCACGGTGTCTTACCACAGAGTCTACTAAAAAAATTCAGCGGTCAATATAAATGCTGGCGCCGCATCATGAATCAATGAACGCTTGCAATTCTCTGGTCGCTTGACATGTTCCAGAGAGTTGCAAGCGTTCATTGACATGTTCCAGAGAATTGCAAGCGTTCATTGATTTATGATGCAGCGCCGGCCCATCAATGAACGCTTGCAATTCTCTTGTCGCTTGTGACACGAGAGTTGGTCATTTAATTTACATATCAGTCACTTCGAGAAACGACAAAGAGACGACGAGACAGGACTCACATAGAAGGCACCAGCAAAATGAACTTGCAATTCTCTGTTCGCTTGATACGAGAGTTGAGTCATTTAATTTGAATATCAGTCACTTCGAGAGACGACAGGACTCACATAAGAAGGCACCAGAAAAATGAACGCTTGCAATTCTCTGTTCGCTTGAGACACGAGAGTGAGTCATTTAATTTAAATATCAGTCAGTTCTTCAAGAGACGACAGAGAGACGACGACAGGACTCACATAGAAGGCACCAGCAATGTGGAACATCTTATCGCACGATAGACAGCGCTGGTAAGGCGCTGGTATACTGATGGACCACTGGCAGATTCGGAGATTTGGTTAGCAACAAGCCAGATCGTGGCAACTCACTGGTTTGATTTGAGTTTGATCACTCCTGGATCTAGGGTGCGGCTTTCATAAGTGGATCTGAGTTGATGAGTCAATAGGACAGCAGGTACAGACCTGGTACAAACGCGATACTGATTGTGCTCTCGAATGAGCCCTTCGCGACATCTCCGAGTTCCGACAGAACGACCCCTTCGCAAATTTCCCGCTGCCTGCGGCGTGCTGGACCCCTTCGTATGACCATATTTTCTGTGGGAACTCCCTTCGAAGGTCACACCGACATTGTCAGAGGTCTAGCACTTTCATCCGACTGCACTTTCCTTGCCAGCTCTTCAGACGATAACACCGTCAAGCTCTGGGCCTTCGAGTCCCGCCAACTCCTCGCTTCCTTCGACGTTCAACGTCCCCGTGCCCTTGTCCTCTCACCCGACTTGCGCCAACTAGCTTACGTGACATCCAGCCCGACGGACTCCCGCCAACTTGAACGTACTTACCCGAGGTACATTGGCTACGAGATCCACATATGCAACATTCCACCCGACGTCCTTGCTCAGGCACGCCGCATTCCCTGCAAACATCTACTATCCGTGTGCTAACATTCCCTTACAGACCAGTGCACAAAACAAGCCAACCCTCACTGATGTACTAAGAGTACGCACCTCATTTGTTTGTTCGTCACACTGCTCATCCATCACCTTCATTTCAGTCTGACGCAACTCGTCGTCGTCCTGCTATGCGCCACAGACCACCAATACATGCCATACCTATGTCGCAAAGACCACCGCCTGCAATCAACCCTCATCAACCCATTTTGCTTCGCCTCCGTAACATCTTCCCTTCTCTTCTAGCACAAACGCAGTTCTGGCTGTTCAGAACAATCAGACTCGGGTTCCTCTAGATGTCCGTTCCCTTTTCTTGCTCCCTTTGCAGTTGACTCAACGCTTGTACTTCAGTTCCCTGCTACATCCGCCCTACCATCCAATGCCGCCCTCTCAGTGCAGCCCACAGCTCGGATTGAGGTTGTCAGTCCTCCATGTTTTGGAAAAAACTTGCGGTGTAACTGAACGTGCATCCAGTTCGAATTAAGTTCTCCGCGTCCCCCCTCGAACGGAGTCGCCCAATTTATGCGGGAGCAGCTTTTTTTGCTTGTTCCAAGGCATGGTAATGGGCCGCCAGTTATTAATGTCGCGGCCGGGCGGAAGTTCACTGTAACATACATGTTATTACCTCTGAGTGCCTTTTGCTTATTTTTTCCCTACAGCGGCTAGCCGCTGCCAAACTACCGGAATACAGAAAAGCAGACGACACCCGATATCCGTCTGGGCAGCGGGACATTGAGTCATCTGACAATGATTCGCTCCCGGATGTGCATTGGTGCAAGGCGTTCCTTTGCCATTATTCGTGTTGGTCTCATGGCAGACTGAGGAAGCCTCCTCGATGGCGCTTGGAGCGTGTCGAGATACCCCGCCAGGACAATACAGCGAATAGCAGCCATGGTGGTGTTCACGGTGGCACTTAGCGCACGTTCACATCTGATTACTGCCATTTGAACTCTCCCTGTAGTAAGTTCGAAAACATCCACGCATTGATGCACACTTTTGTCTCTAGAGTGCCTTCGCTCAGAATTGTTGATCTTCGGATGTGTTATCCTACGACCATGGACATGAGGTGTATTTATTGATTTGTTTCACGTTCGATGGGGATGTCCTCTCACGAACTCCAGTATCTTCGCCTCTCCGTATAATTCTGTTGGCCGTTCTGCACCGAATATTCATCATAGGGCCGATGATCACTGGTCATCAACGTCGTCTAATCATGACTGTTGTTTTCCATGTTCGAAAGCCGTTTGCTACATGAAGTGTACACTTTCGAGCTTACTATTACAGATTTCCTGTGCTCATTCAAATTTTACGAAGAAACATTGCAGGGAGGTAGGTGCAATGTACGTGAAACCGATTATTTTTGTTGGTATATAACATACTGCAATGTTGTTTTCCCTTGCGGTACATTGCATTTCACATATTCCACTGCATACAGGAAGTTGACCCCACGCTTGCGGATGCTGAGTGTGTTCGGTAGGCAAGATCTGGCAGACTCTTCTCTGAGTGGAAAATCCAAGTGTCGTAAATTAATTTGGATGTAATGCGAATGTTCTGATCTGGTGGCAGTAAGTTATATCTGCCTATCATGAGCACAACGACTCACCGTTCTGTGATAGTGTTGATACTTAATACTTATATGTATCGAAGATGATATGACTGCAATATGGTGACATGCAGGTAAAATTGTGTCGGGGTCGATGGATCAGTATTGAGTGGAACGAGCCAGGCTCCGGTGAGTAGTATGGTGTCGTCACTTGTAGCCACAGTCATTTTACTACAGAACGGCACTTCTCCAGCACCTCGCCTTGCACTGTACGAGTGGATAGACAATAGATGAAGATATGACTGAAAGCGCGTTCATGGGCGGCCTTAAACTCCTGCTTGAAAAGGCTGTTGGTGTTGTTGGCTCGTGAGGCGATGGATGCAGCATGGGAAAGGTGACTCGGGAGTCATCATGAGATTGGCAGAGACGGTGGTCATTGGTCGCTGTGTGTAACGGTGTCGAGATGAGACAAAAGCTCCAACGGCTCTGCCGACACTACCGTCTTCGATGAAGCGCAAGTCTTCAAGATGTCACCTCTGTCGAATGTAGGCTGGAGTTCTAATCCTGTGGTTTTTATGGACAGCCCAAAGACGAGTGAAGCTAGTCTGCATTTTGAAACTCCATGGTACTCACCGGATGCTTAGCACTGGAAGCCAACGGCACAGCGAATATTGCCTGAAGGGGTCAATAATATATCATGTTGATCGAGGTGCTACCCATCCTACCTACCCATCCTTCAACTACAAACCCGCACCGTGCACGAGAAACTTCGCTCTTCCCTTGTCCCACTCCATGTACGCTGCTCTTGTCTACAGTGTTGAACGGACTTGAGCAAGACGCGGCGGAATCTCTGTGGGTGTCGGAAACACCATCTATTGTCGGAGAGGTTACATTGAAATGGTGAAGTTGGAGTTGGGTAGTAGAAGTGGTGAGGGCAGCTGAGTATTCGAAATGTAAAGTTCATTCGTGCCCAAAGGAAGCGTGGCAACGCACGCAACGGCGTTGTGCGTGTGCATAGACTCGGAAGAAGCGGGGTGGTGAGTATGCGTGGGAACGGCGACGTTGATGACAGAACGTAGGTGGGTGGGGGTGGGAGACGGTATATGTGTGTCGGACTAGGGCAAGTTAGGATCTGCAGAGCAGGAATTTATTTCATGAACGATTGCAATTGGACGTCGTTGGGTGAAGATTTGGCGCATACCAAACAACAACAAACAGTACAGATCATGTCACGTCGTCACGGGTTCAATATTCAATGTTTATTTCAACTCCCCTTCTTGTGCACTCTCAGATCTCAAGAGCCACTCCTCTGCCCACGGATCCTATTTTAGCTAACAAGTTCACGCCCATGCTTGAACAACTGGACGTGTATTCACGGTCACATATCCCACTCATTCTGAGGCTACAAGTTGAGTTACTGGACGTGTATTCCGCATCCCTCGCCACCCAACCCGCAGATCAACATCTATCCCGTCAATTTTCCTACCCGCAGTTCCTATTCCCCTGAGCATATCTTTTGCATTTGGGGTGTTTGAAGATAGCGGTGGTTTAAATCATTGCTGGATTTTAGACACACTAATGCACGCTTTACTCGTCGCTATACTGTTGCGTTTGTCCTCGCGTCTGAGGTCAGATGGACAATATTCTGCAATCTTCTGCTAATTTTGAGCACTTTCAGGGCGTTCTTATTCGATGTTCCTTGTCTGCAGTATCATGACTTTGGATACAGCATGGTGATGCATATACCGCTGTTATGACCCTGATCAGTGATTTCCACGATGCTACTCCGCCTGCCGCCACCAACGCTGATCGTTTGCTCACAAGTACGTCGTCCTACATTTTCAATCAATGCTTACATTAAATGTGTCTAGGTGATCGTGCACGCCTCAAGCTGTCGTTTGTGCGTTGGTGAGGGATTCTTTTGCGCAGATATGTTGCAAAACCAATCCAACTACCCAGCGCTAGCGGAGCGCATGCCACTCCACTGCTGGTCATTTCAAGTAAGTGTGTGTCGCATCTCGCCCTACATGAATACCATTAACTATATCCAGGTGATCTCATACGCCTCGACCTCTCGTTCTGGCGCTAGTGAATTGGGGGACTCGACCTCATCCAACGGCGCCAGTGGTGCACAGGCACAATTCATCAGGGCGTTCTTCGCTCGTTCCCCTTCTCTTTTCAAGTACCTCTCAAACAATTGTTGTGACTCCGCCTTCCGATGCTGATGTATTGCCAGTCAGTAGCTGACATACTATAATGTATTTAGGTGATGTGCAAAACTGTCGTTCTGACGCTGGTGGGTTGAGTCTACTTGTTGCTGGGGTACACACAACAAATATGATTCAACTTTCCAGCGTTAGCGAAGCACACAGTGTATGGTGTGGACGTTTTCTTGAATAATTCTTGGTTGACTCCAGGGCGTCAAGACATTAGAATGCTCGGGGAACTAACATCGACCATTATGGCCTGTATCTCTGTTTCGTCTCACTGCGCTTGCCCATGCCTGACTCGCCTTTCTGTGCAGAACTATCTAGCATCAAGGGCAAAGAAAATAAAATCGATATTAAATGTCAAGGAGGTTAATTATAACCGACGAAGTGTATTGAATGACATCCGAACTTCCAGTGCAAATACGAATGATCCTAGTCGGCTGCAGCAGGCAATGCACTCTTGGGTGAGTCGAGTGTCTACAAAGACAACTATCATTATCAACGTTAGGGCTACTCACAAATCACAACGCGCTGCTGCTTTGAACGTAGCAAATAATTCAGATATCGTTCATCAACGGAGGCACAGAGAAACAGATGGCATCTCAGACTGTTGTGCCTTCCATCGTGTATGCTGGCTGGTGTACCCCTTGACCTGCAAGAGCAATACTGATCTTTCCACGGAGCTCGCTGCGTCCTTGCGAAAAAGATAGCACAGCTATCTTGCTAGACCTACCTTTGGCGTGTTGAGTGCAGAGCAAGTCTTCTCTGGTGAGTCGCGCAATCTATTATCTCCACCTGGCTCGTATTCAGCAGGTTTCCTTTCTCTCTCTTTGCATGCTCAGGTACCACTCTCGTGGCATTGAGGAGTTGACACAATCTCATAGCATCAAGCAGTCGATGCGACTTGCCCATCTGATGCTGAATTTGCGTTGCTGATTAGTACGTAGCTCACATGAAATACATTGGAGTGGTCGTGCACACCTGTCGTTCTGACGCCAGTGGCCTGTTGTCCAAGCATTAGTGAAGCGCATGCTACATGACGTCGACGTCGACGCCGTCTAAATAACCCTCAGTTGAATCCAGGGTAACTCCATGGCGTTAGAAGCGGCACACGTGGAAAATTATCGCAGTCGATCACAATTAGCATGTACGACATTTGTGTCTTTTTACCGTGCTTGCTTGTCTCTGACTTGTTGTCCTGTGTAGAACGAATATGCCGACTCGATTCTGACTACGTCCACATATCAACGACTTGGCTGTGCGAAATTGTATGTTCAATAGGTCTGGAAATTGAAAACAAATAGTCGAGGCTGATGCTACAAGGCGAGTACCCAGCTGATGATAATATACTGCAGTGAGTGTGCTGCCTGCGCTCTATTGTTTATACTCTCCGTGGGCATGATTTACATCCATTCCATCAGCATGATATTATGCTCTAAATCGCAGCGTTAGAGTGATATTCAACGTTTGGAACATTGAAGATCTCGTCGTGATCAGGGCGTGATGAAAGCAAAAATGGACGATGGTGACAGGTTATGTAGGTTCGTGGGGTGCTGGGAAAGCGAGAAAACCTTGGGTGAACGTGCTTCAAAAACGGTTGAGGGTATGGGACGGCGATATGATCTCCGCGCTGTTCCCACATGACACTGCAATGATGATGAGTGAACAACAAGGAAAGATGAAATGCTACAGCATATGAATCATTTTTCGGGTCATCTGGACGCACCAGCGTCCCACAAGCACACAGCAACCCTGGCATGTGGGAATTAAACGAGATTGACGCTCTAGTTTGTGGACTCACAGCCATGAGCGAAGTTCCTGTGCAGATATAAGAAATAGCACGTCTTGCTGTGCTCACGTTGCAGAATTCTTCCCTCTCTCAGATTCTTGGTAACTCTCGTCCTAACTTCCAGCGTAGATCAACTGACGATCAGATCTACTAGAGGCACACTGCTCTCGCATGTGTTCCAGCGGGAATCTTCAAAACGACCAACATCAGACCTACAGCACACGAAGAGAGCGCACCGTACATTCAAACACATCCAGATAGTAACTCCCGGATTTGACTACTTGACAGTTTCTCTCGCGGAGACGCAGCCATGGCTTCTACTACATCGACGAAGGCAGCCGCCACGAAATCAATTCTGACACCGGCAACAACCTTGAAGGGTCATGAGAAGCGGATTCGATCCATATCCTACTTTCCTGATGGCCAGCGAATAATCAGCGGATCTGAAGATAAGACCACTCGGCAATGGGACTTGCAGTCGGGCAAGGAGATTAAGGAAGCGCGGGGTGTTTGCGAGGAGGAGATGCGGGCAGTTGCGGTATCAAGAGATGGTCGATGGGTCGTCACCGGTGGTGGAAATTACCAAATTGGGGAGCTGAAGGCCTATGAGGTTGAGACGGGGATCGTGAAGACAATATTCAAAGGGCACTCAACGACGATAAACTGCATTGATATATCCGCGGACAGCAAGTTGCTGGCGAGTGGGTCACAAGATGAAACAGCGCGGATATGGAACTTGGTCACCGGCGAACTCGTGGCTGGTCCATTCAAGAGTGTTGATTGGGTGGGCTCAGTTCGATTCTCGACAGATTCGGAGAAGCTCGCGATCAACTCAATTGTGGGGAAGTGGCTTGAGGTCTGGGATATCCAAAAACAGAAATTGGATGCAAGCATAGGGAAACAAGGTTTAGGGAGTATGACGTTTGCGCCAATTTTCTGGACAAATAAAAACAAAAACATCTTGGCCGCATTCACCTTCACGTGGGATGACAAACCCAAGACGATCTATGAATTCGACGCATCGACGCTGGAGACTGTTGGGACTGCCTTCGAACATACTGCCTTTGTCACTGGTCTAGCACTTTCATCTGACAACACTCTCCTCGCCAGCTCCTCGATTTCGGACTGCACCATCAAGCTCTGGGCCTTCGAGTCCCGCCAACTCCTCGCTTCCTTCGACGTTCAGAATCTTGTTGCCCTTGCCCTATCACCCGACTCGCGCAAACTAGCTTACACGACTTACAATAAGAAAAACAAGGCGCACAAGATCCACATATGCGATACTCCACTCAATGTGCTTGTTCAGGCCCATGTACGCATTCCCCGAAAACGTCTGCTCGTGTGCTAATATTCCCTTACAGACCAGTGCACGCAAAAAGTCAACCCTCAACGATTTACTAAATGTACGTCTCATTCTTTTACTCATTACATCACTCATACATCGTTATCATCGCAGCCTAACGCAACGCTCTCAAATCTCACGGCATACATTACCAAGGACGACGAATATCCTGTTGCTCATGGCGGGTTCGGAGAGATCTGGAAATGCACCTATTCCGTGGATAGGGAACTGATCAAAGTTCGTTGCCAGTATTCTGTTTATCCATCAGTACAAAATTGACAATTGCGCAGGTTGCAGTGAAAGCATTGCGTGTGAACACTGCTGATCAACTTGGTCCAGCGAAGGCGAAGAAGATCAAGGTAAGAGTCTTGCTGAAAAATTCCATCTAATGTCACTTACATCAGAGGTCGCCCTTCGTAGAGGATAACGCGCGAACTCAGAATATGCGCCAGGCTCACGCACACAAATATTCTCCCCGTTTATGGTTATACTGACGGTTTCGGCCCAATCATAGCGCTGGTCAGTCCTTGGGCGGAGAATGGAAATTTGATGGTCTATTTGGAGCGTGAGGGTGCAGATCTTACTGTCCTTCGACGATTCCAGATCGTAAGTCCTCGTTTGTATTTCGTAAAGGCTACAGACTGATGACAATCTCAGCTCAGGGATATCATAACTGGTCTCCAATATCGTACGTGCTAGTTAGTTTAATGCTGGACCAGGACTCAAAACTATTCCCCGTAGTTCACGCCAATAGTGTCATCCATGGGGACTTCACTGCTGTGAGTTCGAATATTCTCATTAGTTTCAGCTTGATTGAGATGTGATCTCCAGCCTAATGTACTCATCCATGGTGATGGTACTGCGTGTGTTGCCGACTTCGGTCTCTCCTTGATGTATTCGGAGGTCATGAGCATCTCTCAGGCTTCCTGGACATCCACGCTCAACGGCAATGTACGATGGATGGCTCCCGAGCTGCTCACATCAGAGCGGGAGGATGGGTCTCTACCACGGCCGAGCGAGCAGAGCGACATATATTCATTAGGCGGTATCATGTTGCAGGTAATTTCAACTTCTCAATGGGGTCATCGCCTCCGCTTTTAGGTCCTCACCAATAGTACTCCCTATTATTACTTCCGGCATGATGCAGCCATCATATGGGCTATGCAGAAGTCAGAGATGCCTTCACGATCGCGTTATCCTCCGCTGCCCGAAAAATACTGGGAGTTTATTGAGCAATGTTGGTCTACTGATCCGCGGGACCGTCCATCGACAAAGGCAGCTGAGGGAGTCATCAGGAATGAATATCATGCGCTATCCAGATCTCCTTGATTCTTGAACTGCCTTTTATACAATCATGTATTTACGGTACAACCAATTGGATAGCTAGCTCGGCATGCTACTCAGGTATAGCAAATGTAGGACCTGCCCCCCGTTATTTTGTGGTAAGAGCTTGAGACTAAACGTTTCTTGGGAAAACGAACCAGCAGCTACATTCCTTCTTCTCTGGCAGATTCAAATTAACTATCCATCCGCCCATGCGGTTTGCGATGTGATGAATTGATCGGATCAGTCATCAACATTCCATCCCAAATTGACGTATATAATTTTTTTTACGGCATGTCATCGATAGAATAGCGAGAAGTGATACATCGGGTGTAGTGACCATACCAGACACGACAGGGAATACGATTGAATTTGAACTACCGGGGAACGCCCTTGAAGCTGATCGATGATCTACAGGTAAGTACAAGCAGCTGCTTGCGTCTTTAGCATTAATATGTGCTCTTGTAGATAGTGGTTCTGGAAGGGAAAAAGCAAGTTAACGCAGGTCTTTACCCTGCGCAAGAGGAACATCAATAATGGGCCGTGACGAACGACACGAAAGAAGAGGCCGCCAAGCTAAATAGGTGGCGTGACAGTAGTGGGAGCAGCAGACGACCGAAAACAAGGCGGTTGTGGGGCAGAATGAGACTGAAAATTGTAAATTAAAATGAGGTTACGGCGGCCAACGCCCGAAACCTCGCATGAATACATATATGAACGTACCTGAGGCCTGAGTTATGGCCTGCGCCGAACGGGAGTGATTTGGATGTAGACCCGACGTAGTGGGTAACTGAAGGAATTAGTCAAATCTACGCAGAAGGACACGTTTGTGACAACCGCTGTTGAATAAGTTAGCCTTTCAATTGCAAGCACAAGGAAACACTCACCTATGTACGTACCCTTATAGCACCACCCATCAGAAAGACCCATATCCACCGTCCCTCCTTCTCTACCTCCACTCTCTCTCTCCTCTGCAGCCAGGGCGTTATCGTCATCGTTGAGGTGCGGCAAGATGTGTCCAGGTTTGGGATGACCTAGGACACGTAATGGAGTTGTGGTGTCGGTGTGGTGAATGTGCGTCGAGAGGTTGTGCGGAAATTGATGCGGGGCAGAGGTTGGCGAGGGTATCTGCGTATTACCAGTACTGATGGAAATTGGGAACGAACATCGAGGGAATTCGGACTGATATCGATATATATATACATGCATCAGCTGGAAGCTAACTTTGAAAGAAAAGAGTTCAACGCCGTACATGTGTACCAAATAATGTCAAACACAGGTTGTGTACGACGCTGTCTCTACTCGCTCAACGGTTTCCATGATGTCGAAACGTGTTTTCTTGAGCAAATACATCGCCCTCTCGCTGTACATCACAGAATTCTGCGATAAATAAATGTATCGGGGTGAGGAAACCAAATCTCGCGTTATTTCTACTTACAGTTTCTTCTTCTCCTGCGAAAACCCTGTTTCGTTCGGGTGTTTGAGGAGAAGTTACGATCTTTCAGTCTGAATCGTTACGCACCAATTTTACGCTGTTGCTACTATCTGGGTGATCACCGATCATGCCCTAACACCTCGCAGTGCCGGGAGGTACAGTTGCGTGTGCAGCTTTGTATGGTGGAGTGCACCTGCCCTAGGTCACGGCGCTCGTTTGGTCCTTTCGATCGTCCTTATGCTTGTGTCTGCGCCACGACAGAAAATCCTGTCCCGGGAATCACCAGACCTATGGGCGTCAATAAACTTTACCTCGTGTCCCTAAGCCAGGCCAGACCGCAATGATGAACGGCCCAGTGAGCACCCTGCATCCGATGCCATGATCCGTCTATAGGTTGACATTGATGGGAGTGCAGCCAAGGCTGACAACACCGTTCTGGAGAGGGGTACGTAAGTCGAATTCAAACCTAAGGAAGATCCAATCGAACTCACGTATTTGTTGTCCTCGCAGCAAAGTGGCTGAGTCGAGTTCTGTCACGATCGACAATATGATCTTGCAATGTATCAAGCAGGAGACCAAAAAAAGTGTGAGTACTCAGAACCAAGTGCAATAAAATTATTCTTACCCGTGAAGTCTGGAGCTTGAGTGGGATGCTGGTGAGCTGCTGCGAAAATCGTGCGTTTGGAAGGTAATATGAGAGGTGTACACCAATTTCTGTATGACGACATGGACCAATCACTGCACATCGCATAGGTTCGTTCTGTTTTACTGTCACTGACCAGTTTACGGCGCAGGCTGTTTCTTCCAAGGCACCGATATGAATCACGGAGATCTGATGGATTTGGTCGCTCGTGCGAGGGGGCCTGGATCTACGGTTCAACGGTTCGCGGAGACAGAAAATATACTGTGATGCTTCGATCGGATTGTTAGCCTCAGGAGGGGAAAAATATACACAGTGCGCATCTCGTGTTTGCATCGTAGACTTTAATAAAAATTGAACAACTCAAGTGTGGGCGCACGGCCGAATCCGTTGAGTGAAAGACCGCCGTCCACATAAGTTTCTCTGAAAGGAAGTTCCCCTCAGTGGACGCCGCACTTTCAAAGCGGACCTCCACAAACATATAAATATTGCTTCGGTGGCCTTCATCCTCTATCTCTTACCACTTCGCCTATTGTCCAAGTACGTAGATCTCCAGCTTCCACATCTACATTTTCTAACTACATCTACTTTTACCTCCAGATGAACCCAGCCACCCAAAAGCGCGTAGCAGACGACCTCGAAGACAGCGAAGACCGCGAAGTCAAGCGAGTGAAAATGGACCCTAGCGCCATAAAGAACGACCCAGACTTTGTGAGTTTTCTTTTCATGTTGCAAGGTCGTATTCTTAGTCCTTGGGACAGACACTCGACCCCGAACTCGATAAAAAGAAACGCCAGAAATACAAATGTTTATTTGATGGCGAGTCCATCCTTCCCAGCTCTTACGCCCGCCACATCAGGTCAAGAAAGCATAACGATGCTAAAGAGAAAAGCAAATCTTGCCCTGTTCGTTCGCCTATGTGCGTATTTCACTCTCAATATGCTCGTCTCATTATTAACTGTTATGATTCGGTATACCAGACCTGATGCCTTTCAAGAGCACTTCGCAGAACACGCAGGGCAAAGAGATGGGGGCGCTCAGTCATCATCAATGTACAGCGGCCCGGCGACACCAAACACCACAGAGAACGTGCAAATCTCGTCCACAGAGACCGCCGAAGATTTTGATCTTTCTTCGACGTTTACCGAGACGGAGGACCTTAATCTTGACCATTTCCTGGACATGGGGATCGGGGCCGATTTACCACTGGAAGGCGATATTGTTGATATAACCGCCGCGTCGATGTCCAGTGACTTTATGACGACCGGCGTGCCAGTTTTGCCTCCGGCAGATGAGGTTTCGTCGTCATCAGATGATGTACCTCCTGCATCTTACTCCTCCATTTACTTCGATTTCGATTTCAACGATGAGATCTAGTGTTTCACTTCCGCTACAAACCATCCTGTATACATTGTGCTCTCTATTATCGACTCACCATCTATCCCACCATACGACTTTATGACTTTGCGAACTACACGCATTCGTTCTACTGGATACCATAACGCGACACTCCATTTTTCATTGTTATTGTTATCATTATCATCATCATCATCATGGTGATTCATTTGTTACAATACACATTCCTTACATGCTGGATCTACGGAACAATGTATCTCTCGGACCAAGAATAAAGATTCTCGAGGTATGGCATCTGGATGGCGCGCGACTCATACATAGAACTTGTAGGATAAGCCTGGGGCATAGTAATATAAAAGATTCGAGCGAAAAAAAAGTACGCGACGACGTGGCCAGAAGACTCCGTCCTCAATCCGCACGAATTCAGCTTTGTTTTCGAACACTAAAAATGTCCAGAGGAGACGACTGCCATGCCATAGAATTCCAAGATAGTATTTTAATTCTGGTGGTTTATACACGAACAGTCGGACATTGATTGGGTCAGGGGCTGACGACTAATAAGGCGAATTGGGCATCGGAAGTAATAAACCATAAACCAACCTTGTCTCGTTCCCTCATCCTGCTCTTGCGACCATTACTGTCTTCTTGCGTCAACGGATACCCCCCGAATACACACTACTATGGCGCTGGGATCAAACACTAGACCGTGACTGCTCGGCTTCTTCGTGATCAGCTTGGGCTCTCCTAGCTGCCTCTGCTTGTTGAGCCTCGTTTTCGTTCAATCGCCTCGTTTATGAATTGAAGACACGGATTTTGGAACAGTTCATTACTCATCTGAATCGATTGACGATAAGTCCCCATGAGAGTGCCCACTTCCCAATGCAATCGCGTCGGATATGTGAAGTTACAGGTCAATGGATGTGACTGTTAATGCTGAATGTGATATCGATGCAGACATCACCCGCGGTGCGGGCTGGTAGGGAGTACGGGATAATCGTCCCCATGCACATCTGCAATGGCGCGTGCGTGGGTCTCTGAAGGGAGAGGATCGGGTGAGCATGAACTTGAGGACAGTTGAGACGATGGAACAAGGGAAATCGGCCACTAGCGTCGAAATCGAAACCGCAATGAGAGCTAGGAAATCAAGTGAATGCTACACATACAACATTTTGGCTATCTCTGCCATGATACTTAGCCATTTAAGGGACTGGCTGGTGGGAAATATAAATTGACGCTCTAACACAGGAACATGGGCAATGGCTATGAGGCTGTGAGTGAAAAGCAAGGTGAAACAAAGTTGAATTATGTATAGATGTGCACTGCCATGCAAAACCGCGTTAGGGTATAAGCAAGGAAGACTGCTGTGCTCACAACTTGAATCAAGATCTGATCGCTCTTCTCTTCACTAGCCTCTTCAACTGACCATCGGCTTCAGCAGGGTAAGCGCTGTCATAATAAAAAATCCTTATCAGCCATCAGGCTCACAGCGCACGAGGACAGCTTACCGCAGCTCCTTCGAACGCACGCATACAAAGGATATCTTGGCTACTTGAGTGGGATTTCGCTCGCGTAGACACAACCATGGCTTCCGCATCGACGAAGCAGTTCGGTTTAGACATCAATATGATCCTGAAACCGGCAAGGACGTCGAAGGCTGGCGTGGGTATTACAACCACAGCCTACTTTCCTGACGGGCAGCGAATAGGCGTGCTCAATTCTTACGATGTCAAGTTCAAGGTGTGTCAAGTCCCACCGTGCCTTAAGCCAAACAACATAGCCGACCGGCGAGACCCCATTTGGGTTGCCGAAGCCAGGCTTACTCCGCCTTATCAACAACCATCGCGCAACACACTTATGCAGCGACAACGAGAATTCCGCGACCTCTTAACTGTCGTTTCTGCCTCATCGTCTATGTTAGGTATCTCACAGCGCGCTCGTCTCGAACTCGAACACTTCGTTTCTCCTGACGACGACAATGGTGACCACAGTCATCATACTGCTGCATCTCTCACAAGAACAAGCACAGTACTTCAAGTATTCGCAAGTATGCTATCCGGTGTCTCGCGTGGCCCATATAATCAATGGAGAAAATGTTTCGAATTCTTCGAGATTTCTCTAAGCTGGCCAGACCGAGATTTTCGACACGAATACAGGTATGTTTTCTATTCAATTATCAGCATTATCTTCGCCAACATCTATTAGGGTTGGACGGCCCACCTTTGACCGTCTTGTCCATCTACTCGAACAGAACCCCATCTTCCGATCAACTGGCAAGAGACCACAGCGCGCCGTTCGATATCAACTCGCATGCTTTCTCCTACGGTACGGCACACGAGGTGCGAATCCACTCCAAGCTGCGCACAAACTCGCAATCGGATTTGGAACAGTGTTCCTGTACTGCCGGCGAGTAGTGCGGGCATTGCGGGAGTTGGGTATCCATGTCGTTTCATGGGGAGATGACGAGCGCCGCCAAGAAACATCCGAGTATATCATGGACGCATACGGATTTCCGGATTGTGTTGGGATGTTGGATGGGACACTCATCCGGCTGACGCAGATGCCCGAAGAGAATGGTTTCACTTTCATCTGTCGTAAAAAATTTCCTGCGGTAAGTTATCAAATCCACATGTGTCGAGCCTAACCCAACCTTTGTAGATCAATGTTCAAGCCATCGTCGACCACAAGATGCGGTTCATCTCTGTGGACCTTGGCTGGCCCGGCTCTGTGTCCGATGTTACCATGTGGAAGAAGTCGCATGTGTGGTGTCACCGCCGAGACTATTTTCCGAACAATGGCCAAGTCTTGGCTGATAAAGGTATGTGTTGTCGTATCCTGCGTTTTGAATATCCTGACTATTAGATAGGTTATCCATCATCTCCGTATGTGTTACGGCCCTTCACAGAACCTGAGATCAGGGATCAGCCGCTACAGGAAAAGTCTCGTCGCCGCAAGTTCAACCAGTGTCTGTCATCGATTCGAATCACTGTTGAGCACGCATTTGGTGCCCTTAAGGGTCGCTTCCCATCGCTAAAGGATCTACCACCAGAGCAGAACATCCAGGACACTTACCGTCTGATGCAGGCACTATTCGCCCTCCAGAACTTGTGTATCGACTTGGGAGACTGCCCGGAGCAGATACCATTCTTCGATCCTTCCGATCCTGACCAGGATGACTCAGAGGAGGGTGCTCCTCATGATGCAGATGTCCTGCACTTTGACGGTGCGATTCCAGATGGTCGGGTGGAGCTGCCTGCTTATGAGACTGACGAGTGGCTTCGAGAAGCTGGGCGCCACCGCCGTTTACTGATAATGAATGATCTATTTCCTCTAGATTAACTGTCACTAATTCTTGTCAGTAAAGTAGTCCATTAGTACCTTTCGAGCTACCTCTTTCATGTCATCTGGCATCATCTCGTCTGCCAGGACTTCCCTTGCATTCCTAACCCTAGCTTCAACCTGTGCTGCTCTCGCATCTGCTGCTTGCTTCTCGTCCTGCCGATTTTCACGTTTTTGCTGAATTTTCAAGCGATCATTATCACTTTTCATCATATACCGCATATACTCGGCATTCGATGTGAGATATTCTGCAAGCTCGCTTCCCATGCTTGTGCGAGATGACTGCCGTTTGTGACGTGGTGCAGGAACACCTCTCGAGGTCAATGATTTTTCTTGTGTCTTTGTAGATGCTGTGCCTCCCTTTGCAGTACTTTTCCTTGCTGGCTTTGCCTCAGCATCAGCACTCTCAAAGCCACTGTTAGCATCTTTGGCATCTTCGTCACTGCTAATCTCGATTGTGTCCGAAATGGTGCCCGAGTGAAAGTCATGCTCCCGCACCAGCCCTGGGTGCTCGCCAAGGCTTGATTATAGGTGAGATATATTGTACAACAGTACTAAGTTTTCGTACTCACCGGTTGTTGAACAGCTCATACCAGCCCTCAGTATACCACCGTTTCAGCATGGTCCCAGATAAGTTTCCTACATCCCTCCCTGCTACTCTTGCATTTTTGATCTGTTCATCAAGCTCCTTAACGTCAGGATCACCCTCGCCATTGCCAGTCATCGACTCGAATGCTAATATGTATGTGAATAGCTTCCGTAGCCGCTCATATCTGCTTCTGACTGATTGTGGACTTCGTTTGGGATACCTACAGGTATTTCATCAGTGTAAACAAATGTCTCTCAAACTTCACACTTACCTTTCTGTAGGCATATTTTGCATTTGTGCCAAGCTCCGTGTAGAGCTCACTATCAGGACCCAGGAGTGCCTCGAGCAATATCCTTGTCTCGTCGTTAGTCCAATTGACTGATTCTTCTAGTTCTTCCAGTGCCTTCTTGCCATCTTCGGTTGCCTTTGTCTTGGCTGCCGTCTGTTTCAGCTGCTTGGCTGGTGCCTTCTGGGGAGCATTCTTCGTCTTACGAGGCTTCTTCTCAGTGCTTTGAGGCACTGGTGGCACGTCCTCAGTGCTGCCGGTAATACTGTTTGTCATCCGATGCTTCTTCTCAGCATTCTGGGTTTCTGATGGCATGTCCTCAGTGCTGTCACGGTCGCGCTTCCTTTGCTCGCTGATGACGTCTTGCTGTGGTGATGTCCAGTTTTGGACTGCTTCTCTGGTAGGTTGAGCAACACCTATCTGATTACGAGAGATCTTGACCTTGTTAGGACCTCAGTAAGAAGACTTTCGATAAGCTCTCACCGAAGTTTGCGGATTTTGATACTGTTGCTGGTAGGGAATGACGTGGGTATACCCATGGGTATCTGTGGTCATACCCCCACCCACACCCACCAAAAACCCACACCCACCAGTGTGGGTGTGGGTTTATTCATGGGTACCAGGGATGGCTACCCATACCCACACCCATGGAGGGTATACCCATGGGTGTGTGACATAACTGGTTGGTACTATCTTAACAAATGTTGTTGTAGACTATAGTACTGGAGGCAAATCTACTGCTGATTTTACCTTGTTAATTGGTAATCATTTTATGTGAAATATAAGCTAAATAAAACCAACATCAATAAGTCTCTGCAAAAAAAAGAAAGTTGATATTATCCTTCAGTGTCTTTATAGAAGTTGTAGTACTAGTTTAGACAAGTCTGTTGTGAGTCTTATTTTGTTAACAAGTAGTCATTTGAGCAAGATATAATTTTGAACACTACTGAACCAAAGCTCAAAGTTGTGCTTCCATAGTACTACATGTAGCATAATAAATTGAATCAACATAGATGACAAAGATAGTATGGAAAGTGAAGTTGCTGGTCATTCAACCTAGGCATACCATTCACTGAGACCACTACTAGTATATTTGACAAGTTGAATGACACATCACAGTGCAAAGATAACATTTTTGCCTACATACCCACCATGTGGGTGTGGGTAGGGGTGTGGGTATCCCAAGTGCCTACCCCCACCCATACCCCTGGATACCCACACCCACAACCCATGGTGGGTTACAGATACCCATGACATTGCCTAGTTGCTGCATCAGTAAATCAGAACGGTCTGTACAGAGCTGTACAGAGCTGTACAGCACGACAGATGGACAGCTTGGTCCCTTCTAGCCAGCTCACCACAGTAACACCCTTCCCTGTCAATCCCTGTACAGACACTCACAGACACCCCAGAGCTTCTTTTCTGTACACAGTTTGCCAGAAAATTTTACTGTATACTACTGTCTAGAGTACTGCTACTGTAGGCTACTGTCTAGAGTACTACTACTGCACACCGCATCTTCATCGCTGCACGATCCTCGAATCTAAAAATATGGAGAACGACCAAAATAGATGCATTTCACAGATACGCGGAATCGAATACAAATGTAGGTAAGCGGTAGTAGACAGCGTAGACGTGGAAAATTGAGATCATGAACGCAAAACACCCAAACCTAATCCAGAACGACTCGCAGATGATTATGCTTTGTCGTGTCCCTCCCGTCGAGCTTGCAAGACTCCGCCCTGTATGAGTTCAATGAGTGTCAGTGTCCGAGACTTCGTTAAAAAAAACTTACCATCCTTCTGCAGCCCAGTGGCGAAGTTGCCGCCTCAATTTGGGTCCGTGGTATGGGTCTCTGTTGACCTCGTCGAGTAGAACAATTATCGAGTTGTAAATAGAGCCATATTCTTTGGCGGAGAATTTCGGGAAGAGTTTGCCATTGCCGTTCTTGGAAAGGCCATCCAGGACGCAATGATACTACAAAAATCAGTTTGAATGAGTAGCATATAATATAGACGAATAAAAAAATACCGCGGTGCAAATCAAAGCCAGGCTATTCAATGGTATCGCCTTCTTGAAAATCTCCGGCCTCCTGTGAGCGACACGATAAGATCCGGTGTATAGGAAGCTGATGGCGGCCTCTCGGAGGGCAGGGTGAGCAGCATTGTTAGTTTTTCCCAGGTCATCCATACCATTGCGAAGAAAGAGCGAGTCCTCCAAAAGCACCGTAGCGGCGTTCTGTACCCATGCGGCACGATCTGGCGCAGTGACTTCAGGTGGGGGGATGAGGTTATACATGCTGGGCGCTATGGCGACTGCTAGTTTTTTCAGGTCGGAACGCCATGTTGACAAGTCTTCGAATAGCTAGGATAACAAAACATCAGTATCTAGACATGCGGCAATCGACGCACATACCAGTTTTGCCATGTCGGGCTTGTGATCGGGCCACAGACCTAGTAGATTTCATGAGTAAAACATCACGAGGAAGAAAAGGACATACCTGCTTCAACCTGCTTACCGCCTTCAAGCCATTCTACGAGAGATGATGTGAGAGCCTCGGTGACGGAAATGGGCAGATCATCAGCCAAGGTCGGGAACGCGTTCTCGATTGCGTGCTGGGCACGGCAGTCCCCTTTGGCATCCTCAAGGAAGGTCTTCCAGCGTGGCGGGTACCAGCCAAGTTGAGTGGGCTTGGGTCCTTCAGGTGATTCCTTGGATCTTGAAGATTTGACCGTCGTAGCTGGGATTTTCGATTCGGTGGACTTCGCTTCAATGTCTTTTGTGTCGGAGGATCGGAGGAGATCAAGCAACTCAGGATTAGGAAGACGGGGACGTCCGTTTTTCTTGTGGTGATTGACTAAGACATCATCTGGCTTGGGTTCAGTGGCCGCCGGCTGCAGAAAAAAAGAAATTAGCGGGCTTCAGAAAAATAATTGAAATATACCTGGATCGTGTCATCATCGCTGGGGCCGCTTTCCACTGCCAAAGATCTCTCTGCTGTATGATCTTCTTCGTCGCGGGAATATTGGAACTCGAAGTCTGTCGGAAGAGCAGTGGTGACCTCGGGTCGAGGCGGTGGCACTTCCTTCGAGAAACCTGTCCCTCATTTAGCGCTCATGACGACGGAAAAAACCAGCGACTCACCAGGATGCGCGGTATGGTACCCCTGCGATGCTCCCCAACCAACTTCCTCATCAACTTCCTCTTCGTCATCAGTAGTACCGCTATCACTGCCCTCACTGGATGCATCTGATCCATCAGACTGTCCTAAATGTCCATCGCCAACTGAGTGAAGGGCTGGGTCCAAGTTTTGATAGAAAAGAGTGTCAGATGGACGCGCAGCTGATGTGGACCTTGAAGGTACCGGTGGCGCGAAATCTTGCTTTGCAGATACGGTGATGGCAGCAGGAAGGTATTTGATCGCAGTCCTTGAAGGTAGTGGAGGCACAGAAATTTGGTTTGCGGGGGTGATGGGGGCAGGAAGACATGTCGTGGCGACGTTTGCCCTGGCTGCGGCCACATACGGGTTGTTGAGCACTTGCAAGTCAGGTTCTGTGCCAGGGGGTACAATGGATTGAGAAAATCCAAACCTTGTGCCAGCTTTGCATTGATGGAAACTGGGTCGGTCATCTGCTGTCTCCAAGCTCGAGGGAGGGATAAGAGCATTCTTTGTCACCTTGGCTTTCTTCCCCCGAGGTTTAGTAGGAGTCGCAGCAGGAGGATCCACCGTATCGGAGGCACTATACGGCGGAGGGGGTTTCTAAATGTATTCAGTATTGCCATCTGTAACTACAGGTAGAATAATATACTTACCTTCGCACGACTTCCACGGCCCTTACGAAGTGGTTCTGGAGCGAGAGGGTTGACTGGAACATTCGAGTCGAGGGAGGTGGAGCCCTTGGGTTGGTTGGTCCGTGCTGGGGCACCCAAGAGGGCACCAATTCTCTCGAGTTGATCAGCCCTACCTCCCGTTCCTGCACCTGAACGTCCAGAACGCCGAGGGAGCAAGGAGCTATCTTCATCTAGAGTCGGCTGCTGCGACATGGAGAGTGACTCGGCCCCAGCCCGTGATTTCTTTGTTGAAATCTCTTGCCCATCAGAGTCCGTAGCTTTGCGCTTTGATCTCTTCTTCTTGGGGCTACTGCGGGTAGGATTTTGACGTTGGGTAGGCATGACTGGGGCCGTGGACGGGAGGAATATACTGTGGAGCAATAATAAGTAGCACTGATTGAACCAGATTATCCCGGCTTTTTGTAGTAGTCTGCTGGCGGCGGAATGAGAATGATGATCACAAAAATGATTTCGAAATATGACTCTACCGCGGCCGCAGCCATTGTGTAAAAGGCTGGGAATTTTACGAGTCGACTGTTATCCGTAGGCCGCATATATAACGTAGTAGAAAACTTGCAAGTCAAATGTTGAGGGTAATGATGCTACGTTACGTCGTTGAGGAAGGTTGGATATATTTATCATGTCACATGACTCGAACAGAATACATGCATTAATCATCGAAAGTTTACCTAAACATTTGCGGTAAAAAATCAAGCTAAAGTACGTTTCGCTAAACACCCCTATCCAGTCTTACTCCTTTTGCCTTGGGTGCCATTTCCATGGTCCATCGGTAATCAGTGACTCCAAGTCGCTTGTTGTTAAGGCGTGTCCGGGGCACTGCAGTCTCGCGTATGGGTGATTGTGACTCCCCTTCTTCGCCACCGCTCCCAGAGCCTTCTGCATTAAGCCCTTTGAGTAACCACTGTGAGACGAGGAGCTCAGGCGATGGCTCATCGATCGGAAGAATCGTGATATGTCTCTCCAACATCCCGATTATGTCGTTGAAAGTTACCCTACTCGGTTCTCTCATCAGATGATACCATTCCAGCGCGACAGGGAGGAGTTTTTTGAAGTATGGATGGAACTGCTCGGTAAGTTCCTTGACGTAGTGCTCCGTGTGCCAGAAGAATGTTGTTTTGGCATCACAGCACAATTTGAACTTGTCCGCGGACCATTGGCCCGGTATCCAGTCGGGACCTTGCTTGAGAATACGTTTCATGCCAAGCGGACCTCTGAATTCGATACAGATCCAGATGAAGATGTAGAACATCGACTCAAGGTCATCGTGGTAGGTATGCTTGATCAGGGGGGCAGGGTTCGGTTTCGAATCAGAGGCCTTTTTGCGTTCATCCGCTCCATCTGGATCACAGAGGTGGAGCTGCAAGAGAAGCGCTCGAGACATGAACGGTAATGTGCCCTAGACATTCTTTGTTAAAAATTGATATTCTTTAGTAAAATCAAAACACTAACCGTGCCCCCGACAGCATAGTTCCCCTTCTTCAAAATACTCACGGCGAACTCCCAGTCTATCAGCATCCCGTGTGTGTCTTTCCCGTCGTCCTCGATCATCGCATTGTTCAGACTACAGTCGCGGTGGAGAATATTGCGCTCTTCCACTGCATCCTTCTGAACTAAACAATAGGTAAGTAAAATCTGTGATACATATTTATATCGTACTTACTCTTCACGATATCGCGTATTGAACTAAGCAACTCTAGCCTCGTGCGAAAATTGATGCAAAGGTCTCGCGCGCGGCTTCAAGACGAGGCGAACGTGAGTTCGAAATGTGTTCTTAAGGCTGCGCAGAACTTTGTACCGGTAGTTTGCAGTTTGGTCGATTTTGTTCCTGGACTCGACGATCCAATGCTCGACGAGCTTAGGAACCCCTCGGACTCCATTCATCTTCCTCATCATGTTGACTTCGTTCATGGCCTCCTTCTCTCCCCCCAGGACCCAGTGGTCCTTTATGATGAATTCCTCGTTGTCTTTCCTGGCTAGGTAACAAACGGTACCACGACCAACAAGACCCTGGCTGGAGAAGATGATTTCGAGCATATCGTAGTGATGGTCACCGACGCGAATCTTGCCGATAGGTTCTGGAAGGGGTGCGCGGAGAGGGTCTTCGGGTACTTCGATAGGGAACTCCAGTGGGAAGTCGTCGTTATCTTTCTTTTTAGCGGTGCCCTTCGTGTCCATGGTATTAATGTGAGAGGACGTGCCCTCACTCTCCTCACTCTCGCCCTTGCTCACGTTCTCAGCCCTGCCCTCGCCCTCACTCTCGCTTTCGCTCTCACCCTCACCCTCGCCCTCGCCCTCACCCTCACCCTCACCCTCACCCTCGCCCTCGATATCATCCTCGCCTCGCCTCTCTCTCGCTCTCTCCTCTCGCCCTCCCCTCGCCCTCACTCTCGCCTTCACCTTCACCCTGGTTCTCGGGCAATGCAGTCGCGTCCTCGGCTTGCGAGGATTTCAACTTGTTCTGGATATGGAGGGGGAGCCAACTCGAGCGCGACTTCAGCGTTTGATCAAGCGTGTGCTTGAA